ATAGATAGATAGATAGATAGATAGATAGATAGATAGATAGATAGATACTCACAGTAGCTGAAGGTGAGGTGTGTGAACAAAGCTCCCTCCTGGGATTTCATTAAATCCCGACTTGACAAAAGATCTGAATGAACAGAAAGAGAGGACTTGGGTAAGGAAAATGTTATTAAAATGTGATGAAGAAGAAACGTGTATTCGGAAGAGCAGGGACCTTTGTCATAGTTCATTATTGTGAACTTAGAACAAAGACATAAAGTCTGAAGAGTCCTGCCACACTCCACTCCAACAACACTTACAGTGAGACGACGTCGGACGGGAAAGTGTGGGGCACGGATCGGACATTCTCACAAAGAGCATTGTCTTTAGTGCAAGTGCATCCCGAGGGGCATCTGGGCTGCCTCAGTCTCCGTCCGTCACACAGCACCAAGCTGACAGCAGCGATCCAAAACAGGAGCGAGCATCTTCTCCATCCTCCGACTGGGTATCCCATTACTTCTGTCTCTCCAGTTCAGGCAACTTCCAGGCAAAAGCTGCAAACGACCAGACTTCCCCAAAAAACAAAAAAAAAAACCCTCAAAGCGATTTAACGTGGTTTCGTATACGTCTACTCAATTTGTCTTATGTCTTTGCAATTATAGAAGGTGCCGCTTTGATGCAGGCTTGTGTCTATGCTCCTTGTGTCTCAACAGGAAAAGACCTCTCCAGCAGATTTGTTCTGCGACGCACAGGATTACAAATACGGGACATCCAAGCGGAAAACATGTCAATTTTTTGTCATGAAACAGAACATCTTATTCTCGAAAAAGCATTGGAAAAAGAAACCGCCTGCTTCTTAATAGTTCATCGCCTCCAGTTAAGTAGTCGTGTGTGTCGTCGCCAAAGAAGAAAGGAGAGAACCCATAAGAGAGAAGGAGAAAGGACCAAACAGAGATGGAGGAGGAGGGGTAGAAGCCCTAAGGTGCGCTTTTCTGTGTAAGCACTGCCAGCTATTTTTTATGCACGCTTCAGAGACGTGCATGGCTAATGGGAAGCGACTATTCATGAGATTCCGAGCAAATGCACCTGCCCCACTCATTGAAATGCCACCTCTTTTCTTCTCTGCTTTGGCAAGATAATGACATTTACAATGAAAGGACAGGCGTCCACCATAGCCACTAAGCAGAAGACATGGCAAACAGCAATTATTTTCATGAAATTTTATGTTTTATCTTAAAACAACAAATGAAAATGAGGATTCCTTTCTATCTTCCTCTTTCTTTGGAGTCCGAATTTATTCATTTGTTAAGTTCACATGAAATAATAAAAATCTGGAGAATTGTTCCCAGACTGTGGTGACCTTTCACTCCTATAATTTATCATAATTCAAGGACCGAATTGTCCTCAAACGATCAAAGACATAACGATGCCTTCATTTTTCATCTATTCAGAGGCCTGCGAGCAATTTCTGTCCCTCAGTCAGGATTAACAGTATGAACACTAAAGAGCCAATCAGTTAGTAGCAAAATGGAAGTCAGAGTGTTTTACCCTCCACCAGTGTTTTTCCAATATAATTCTCATTGGACTATACCTTGCAAAAGTGACTTTGTCTCAAATGGATGAGAGTCACAGCTGATATATCATTTGGCAATCATCATTAAACCAGGCCTACTCAAGGAAAGGATATAGACATGGCATCACCGCATGTGACCCTGTGCCTTTCATTGAAAACACAATACAGAACTATCTTTTTAAGAAAAGGAGAAAACAAGCAGGAGGATGGGGGTTGGGTATTAATGAAAAACCAAAAACATGTTTCAGAAAACAAGGACTTAAAGGAAAATGGCCTATTACAGGAGTAACATATAAAATAAAAAAACACTTATTTATCTGTGATGATGCTCGATCAACAAAATGTACTGCTCCCAAGAGAATCCCTTGTTTTAATGACGACTCCCCCAGGGCCTTGGCCATAACCTTACTCTGACCCCCCATTAAAAACTGAAAGTTTAAATAAACCTTTATCCACTCTATTCATGGAAAATTGGTTTGGCCTTTATCATAATTGTATACGTCCACATTTTCATTTGACTTACAGAATTAAATTATGAGACCGCAAGACAATTGGCACATTGCTTTAATTTTAAGTTATATTTTAAAAAACACATGAAGCATTTCTCTGCAATGTTATAATTTTTTTTTTCTCATGATAGCATGAAATGATGACGAAAAAACAAAATGCTGACGTTGAAAAAACAGGATAAACTTGCGTTTTGTCACACATAAACGAACATAAACTGTTGGCAATGGTAATAATTGTATTATTATTTAATCATTATTGGCTCTAAGGACATCGTTTGGGTTCCAAAACCTGAGAAAATAAAAATGCAAAATATTGGTTTCGTTTTCTAATTTAATAGGTTTTTTAACAAAAACATAATTTGTTTATTATTATTTGCGTCAAGGTGAAATCCTACCAAAATTCAATTGAAATAAATATGAACATTTGTTAACTTATTCTTGAGTTTCACCAAAGAAAGGATGAGCCGTGACGGCAGTATGCGTCATCATTTTGCGACTCGCTTCTTACGACATCATCTGGCGACGTACATTAGATTTAGTAAACAATTCAGATCTAGTCAGAAATTGTCGGCGAATAAATGGATAATCTTGTGAAGGTAAGCTATGAGATATTTGAGTTCCAAACTGTTTCATGTAAACAAATATATTAGAGTTTTAACAGTGAGCGTGTCTTTGTTTCGTATGCAAGAGACATATGCTTTTACTAAGAGTCTTTTTCTGACTGCTTCATCGGTTACAGTCAGCATGAACAAATATGGTGATGAACGTTTCGGTAGATCATGAACATGCACACGCAGGCCAATGCGTATGACTTCACTTATTTGGGATCAAATAAACCTTTAATATTTTGGCAAAGTGAAAATCACTTAACCAAGTGGGGAACTGAGAGTGAACGCCAGGAACTCAATGTTGACAGAAAGGCACAGAAGGATGGCATCATAATAGCACAAACTATGGGGGGAAAATGGGGCCAATGTTAATGTTCTGTCAGCTGAAAACATAAACAAACCAAAATGTGCAGTTATTTTAGAAGTACTGGTATTTTTAGACATTAAATCTATCAAAGGAATCCTGAAATCACTAGATTGTTTTTCACAAGAAGTTGTTTTAGTCTTAAATGTGTGATCAAGAGTCAGAAAAGGAAGATTGGCTTGAATGTAAGTCTTGACTGATTTAGCTTGGCAACAACATAAAGCATTCATCCAGCAGCATAAGAGGATTTAAAGAGGTATGACAAAGCTTTTTCTTAATGTCTAAAAATGTATACATTGCTTGCAATTCATTGGTACCAAAGATTTCTGAGCTGTACTGATATTTTCATATGGAGAAGATTGTTTTCTACTTTTACATAAGGAAAGGATCTTTTGTGTTTCTTCAGGTTCACGGAAGTGGTGGTTATGACTCTGACTTCAGCGATGATGATGGACAGGGTGAGCACTCTGAATCAGCCCTTAAGAGGTAAAATAAAAGAGTATTGAATTCTGTTCATAACCCACATTGATTTTTTGCTCCTCCACACTTATGTAAGTGTGTGACTGTGTTGCCAAAAGCTAACATGAAAGTTACTGCATTCATTAAATGAGGAAAGTGTCCTTGAAAAATGTATTTTGTTGACCATCTTACTTTCATCAAATAATTAAGTTTGTGATTGATGTGGGTTAATTGTGTCACCACTAACAAACTTGTTGGCTTCTTGGGTGCATTTGACAGGAAGCGAGAGGAGGAAATCCTACAGAAGCCGTTCCACAAAGGTGGACAGTCTAAGCTGGCTCACCGCAGTTTGCATTCTAATGAAGTGGACAGGTACTGAACTTATCTATATCCCCAAATTTATTTTCACCAGAAAGGCAGATTTAAAAGGGGGGTTAATTCTGTCGTTGTTGTCAAATTTTGCTAAATATGATTTTCTTTTGTTCCTGTTTTTCAGAGAAGAAGCAAGGAACAGAAGAGCCCACCTGATATCAATGAATGCTGTATCCTCATTTCATTTACCTTGATCTGGTGCTTTTTTATAGTTTATGTATGAATAAGCTGGAGATGATTAAAAAGGTGTGTTCTATTCATTCTAAGACATAAAAAAAGTGAGGGTTGTGTTTTTACAATTCAGAGAGCAGGTTTGCACAGAAAGAATTATCCTAAACAAACGACTCCAGTTTGAGCGGCATAAGAAGTTTGTCGGCGATTACATTTTGTATTATGGAGGACAGATGGCCGACTTCCGACGCTCCGCGTAAGCTTTCTGCCCCAACTTGAAAATCAGTTTGCTGTAAAGAAGACTTGATGAGAAATGAGAATTTGTTTTTGTATTACACTACACGATAGACACGTTTTTTTAAAATCCTTCTAACAATTGACTGCAGTTGACAATAGCTCTAAATGCCGCCCTCTAACCTTTTGTATCCTTTAGGTCTAAAGACAAAACGGATTTGGATGTGCTGCGTGAAAATCATCGTTTTCTCTGGAAGGACGAGGATGAGGAAGACATGACATGGTGATCATCTGACGTCAGCAGTTCACACACGCATCTTCACTTTTCAGTTTGTTTTGATATATTCTTTCTTCTGAAAACATGTTTGTAGTACAGGATGCCGTGAGTAGCGCAGTACCATAACTTACTGCTTATGAACCCCCCAGGGAAAAAGAACTGGCAAAGAAGTATTATGACAAGCTCTTCAAGGAGTACTGCATAGCTGACCTCAGCAGATACAAGGAAAACAAGGTGAGAGTAAAGGAATAAATGCTAATAATCGACACCTTTTAAATGTTAGATACATTTAAACATAAGTTAAAACTATTACAAAAAAATAATACAGAGACTGTACGCCCAGCCACAGTTGCCAGGTCACAGTGGAATGCTCCATGGTTGCAGCCCACTTTAGCTGTGTGAAAGATTACACTAATTGTCCCTGTGCTGATGCCAAGTGTAAAGGATAATATTTGCTGGCTCACACTAATCTCCATCTTTACTAGCCCTCTGTAGACAAAAGTTGGGGGGATAATGGGTTTTGGCGTTGTGCTCTGCTTTGAGTGGCCACTGGGCCATTCTGGTCTGAGGCCAATCTTTAAAAATGAAAGAGTGTTAAACTGAGAGTCATTGTGAATGCAGCTCTGCCCAGCAGCTCGTGTAGTTAGTGGATCAAGAATTCCCCATTCACGTCTTTCTTTTAAGCTCATGTGATAATCAGACTGTGTTGCAAAATCGAAGGTCCCTGATTCGGAATAATTGGGGATCCCACAGTAGTTAGATACTGTTTTTAAAATGCTAGTATTTGAGTTTTCTATCTAGAAATAGTTATGTATACAGCCTACTCAACACTTTTTATGACCTTAACTTGGTCACTCACTGGTGAAACAACAAATTATTAAAATTGGGAGATTTCTGCCCATGAATGCATTTATACAGTACATACGCATGAAAAGTAATTACATAATTATTATGCCTTAAAATGTACATATAAATCCGATTTGTCTAATTAATTTGAATAAAGGCCAAGAAAACTCTGAATGGCTTGCTAACCAACACATATGTGTTTAAATTTGTTCCATATAGTTTGGATTTCGTTGGCGGACTGAGAATGAAGTTGTCTCTGGCAAAGGTAAAAATGACTCCTGTTAATGTGCTATAGATGTAATCCATGTTTACATGATTGTAAAAATAATGAATTGGGGCTGTCAGGAAAACAGAATAGAATGAAAGATCTGGTTGTACCGGTTTGAGCTGATTGAAACCTCAAAAGAACATGAGTTCATATGACATATTACTCTCTGTCATTATGTATTACTAAATAAACACCAATTAGTGTGCTGTGCTAGTTAAATTATTAAGTTAAATGGATTTAACTCCCTGTTTACTTGTCCATGGCCAACAAAGCTCTCCACTAGATGGTGATAGAGATAAAGACACTTTTCACTGTCGTGTCTTACATACTTCAGTTACCTCCCATAACAAGCCTGTCCTCACAGGAGACATTTTATTTAATCACTTTAGTTTATTTTCAGTATTTAATAGCATGCTCTCCTCAGGGATTTTTTATTACTTTTCTGTTTTTCTGTTGTTTGGTTTTGTTTATTTTTGGTTGCCTTTTGGGAGTGCTGATCACCCCAACCTGACTCACTCCCAACACTTAGGTTTGTGTTGATGCATATCGTCTGCAGCCTACCTGTGCACTACTCAGAGGAATAGTTTGATGATTAGCACAACTCCTCTCTGTCAACCACTCCTTTGTGTGACAGTCACTAATTATTTTTAGCTTTTCTTGGAAGGACACTGCCTGCAATTCAGCAAGAGTAAACCTCCTCTGTCTGCTCAGGGACATGCTTTGAGCCTAGGTTCACACGCACACGTTACATGGAACTAATCCCTATGCTGTGGAATGAAGGGAGAGCACTATGAATTATTCTGTGGATCCAAATTAGTTGCTTTGCGATTTGTAAAAAGGGGCATTGGCCTCGTCTGAGGACCTGTATTTGTTTTTTGTTTACACCGCAGCATTGTAAGGTGTGTCTGAGAAAGTTGACTAAGCCAATATATTGTTCCAGATTAAGACTTTGTAATCTCGGTCTCTGACAGTTCATGTCCTGATGCAGTACTCCACAGGAAGTGGGATTGGATAGGTCGGATGCTTTGTATTTTATCACTTTTCTGGGTTGCGTATATTAATAATTTCCAGAAAAATACAGATGCAGTGTTGGGGTCACCAAAATTATAAAAATTTACACTTATCGGAGTATGTTAGATGGATATATTATTATTATTAATGCCAAAATTATGTTTGTATGAGAATATCTGAACGGGACATAAAATTAATTTGATTATATTTTAAGGCACAGATGGAGGCAAGAAAGATTGGAGGTTAACTTGATTACTAATAGTTCCACGTGGATTGATTGATGTCAGCCGGGCTTACGTGTTTGTGCTTGTCAGATGGCCAGACTGGACTTTTGTTTACCGATACATTAGAGAGGAAAACATCTGAACTTTCACTATTTAAACTGATCCTGCATTTCCTGATAGGACTGTGAGGACTGTTCTTCAGCTAACAGTCCCCTTATCATCCCTGCTCTGAGTGGCACATAGGTCATGATGGTGTTAGGTAATGCTGACCACACTCCATGCAATAAGGATCAGTAAGAACCCTGACCCTTCCCTTCATGGTCACAATGTGATATTGGACCAAGGTCTGTGCAGCACAAAAAGGATAGTTTCTTCCTTGGATCGCTGGTTTGTCCTCCCATAGCACTTTTTGCGTCACTAGATTTTCCAGAAGTCATGAAACAATAAATGTATTTCTACGACATGCTTGTGGCTCTTTGTCTGTGGTCCAATGACATGTTCCTAAAACTTCCACAATCGCTCTAATTTCTTTAATTGGGTTTGTGATAAAAAAAAAGTTTAGTTGTTCATATAACTTCTCAATATCCTATTTGCTTAATTGTCTTGTGTTCTGTGATTGCTGGTGCCTTACTACGCTTCCTTGAGTTTGACAGCTCAGTGGGATAGCATGAAAACCTCAGGCTGTTTTCTCTTGATGTTTTTGGGGGTTTGTGAAAAGAAAAAAAGACCTCTTACCAAATCTGTAGGCACAGCCAGTTGCACAACAGATATTGAGCCAGTTAAAACAGTCCACATCATCGAGCCAATCATTGGGCGTTACCCAAGTCCAGTCACATGTCTGATGACATCACGTGCATTGATTGTATAAGAAAGGGTGCACTTCCATATAGGCTTCACTTTTCAAATCTGAAGGCAATAGCCATCTTAAATATAAGCTCTATGATTAGAACATAATGTGATAATACCCCACCAATCACAACATCCCATTAAAATACAGAGGGTTTAACATTAAATGAGCAGTATGGACATAAAGCAGAAGTACATAACCTTTGTTCTCACTTTGATCATGGTAGCAACACTGAGTGTGTCTGAGTGTGATGTAAGCACACACACAGCTTTTCTTCAATATTTTACAAATAAAACGCGTAAGCGCATCAAAGCCACATCAAGTAAAGTCTCGCTATCTTCAAAAACAATAATCTGTGTGTGTCCCTCTGAACCCTTTCCTTAAGAGACTTAAGAGACAAATTTAAACCCCTGTAGCTGTGCAAAGTAAAGAAAAATCTGGTAGGAGGATTTAAATTACAGTGCAATGGGTGATTCTTTACAAGTAGCAGCTCGGATTTTAGATTTGTCTCAACAACGTGGCACAGTGAACCTGATGTTCATCTGTTCCCTGAGGCATGCAGTTCTTCACTCCAGTTCATGTTCCCTGTTTTTTTTTTCCCCCTCTGGTATAATTTGAGATTCAGCATATCTGTCAAAAGGAGGTCAAAGGGTAGATGTAGTTGGGGCTACGCTCCTTTTCACGTGGGCCTCCTGTTAAAAGCTTATTGTTGGATTATGTAACTGCACTTGCTGTAAAGAATAGCTAAAAACATGTGTTTTCCTTTCCACACTCACTCACAGAGGAGGAACCCGATCTGAGGGACCTCCACAGCCTCTCAGTGACTGACTGCTAACTGCAACTTTGAGGCCTCTGCAACTGCTCTCATGTTATTTACTTGCCTGTAGGAATTATAAATTCTGTGGAATTAAGTTTTTGACATAACGAGACTCCAGAGCATTTAAAGTTACTCAGCCTAGCGGTGAAGGCAGCCAGTGATGACACTGACCTTGAGTGTTTCTTGATGGTAAACAGAGATGAAACAAGCAATAGGCAGAACTGCTGGCTATGTCAGATGTCTGATATGCTGTTTCTCTTTACACAAATACCAGACTGTGTCGAAGCTAAGATCAATACTTTCGACTACTGGTTCATGTAAAAGACAGAAAGGATGAAACTAGAGCTGATCCACTTTGGGACGTTGTGGTTGGAGGAGCAGTCATTTATGTGCTCGTTATTTTTTCTAGTATTTCAGATTTATGTATACGGATACTGAGGCTAGTGAGCATAACTGGCCAAATTGTGGAAACTCAAATGTCATGGCTATAGCAATTATAAACATATCTATACATTTACATTTGAGTGTAAAGAATATTTCTAGCTTTGTTCTTTAGAGCTGGGGTTGTATATATACAATATTAAGAAATATCCATGCTCCCTCTGGGTGTGAGTCTGTTAGTTCTGGACTGCGGCAGAAACTCTCCATTCTGAACGTTTCAGAGAAGTCATGGATGTTATGTCCTCGGGACTAAAGAGGAGAGAGGCCATCCAGCTTGTTATCAGAACCCAGTTCAAAAGCGTATTTTCCTCAGTGTAGTGGTCATGGGAAAAACAAAAATCAACAGCAGTGCTTTGTGGAGCAGCTATATCCTGCTTTGGATGTGTCCTCCAGTTCGACTCGGTGCTAGTATCCTAAGATAATAGCTCTCCTTTCTGGAGCTTAATGGAAAGTAATAAGTTCCAATGGTATTTTTTCAAACACCAGCCAGAGAGAGAAATATTATTAGACCTTAAAATGTTTTCTTTGAACTAAATAATTCATTAACTTGCTTTTATATAACATTGATTTTGTTATATTAATGACAATTATGGGTCCTTTGTGAACTTTTAAGAGTTGTTAAAGAGTAAATACAACATGAATGCTGTCAGACCTGGGGTCACAGACCTTTGGCTTTGTCCAGTTACTGTTAATCATGCGGCCATCTGTCATGAGATAAATATCTTCCCTGATCTCTGGCTCCTGGCTGGTGGCATTATCAACCATTGACGTAAGAGAAAAGGAGTTTCCCCTCTTAAGGGGTTTACTCAGCCAACCGGTTGTCAGCTTTTTTTCACTGAGCGCGTGATGGTCACCTGACATCATGTGTGAGAGTATCTGCTTCATGTCAACAAACACTTTTTTTAAATGTCCCCTTTTAACCTTGTTTTTTAAGCATGTAAACACAGAATCAGTGAAAATGTATAATATGCAATAGATGTTTTATAAGTAATAATATATGCTTATATTTATATGTGCGCATAAATGTGCATATATCATGCAAGATGAGAAGAAAACTTTCTTAAAGGATGATGAATCAATGCAGCAATATGTACCAGAAATTAATTGAATATTTATCTTTACATTAAACTACCTACTTAGGGATGTAGAATATACGTATTGGATTTAAACTTTCTCTTAATAAAATAAAAGTAGAGTTGTTCCTCTAGAAACCAATTTAGTGATTAAAATGCAGACGTGGATCCATGAAAGTCTTTCTGCTTACATCATGTCTTTAAATCTAGCATGTGAAAAGCAAGTCTACCACCCAGCTCGAGTGGCAACAGGCCAGCATCATCTCATCCTAATATAGAGATTAGAGCCCAGGCAGGTAAGGGTAGGCTGGACTCTCCTCTGACAGATGACCATTTCTCACGTCTGTGCCAAGAAACGTCTTCTCTGACGCATTCCCTCTGTTTCAATCTGGAGGAACCCCGAAGACCAGATCAGTGCAGCCATAATCTCCTCTAGGGATAATAGTCAGGCAGTTCAGTGGCTGGAAGGTGGCCTGGGAGCATGAGGTGAGGGATCGAAAAGAGTTGGTTTGATTCGGAGGAAGGTGTGGAGAAAATGGATGAGAGAGAGCTGAAGGGTTTGAAATGTTGTTTAAAATTCTCAGTCCTGAAATAAAACTTTTTTACAGCTCTCTACCTATCCTCTCTGCTGTGCTTCCACAGCTTATTTCTGCATGGTGACTATTTCTTTCCTTACAGGATTATGAGCACGTTCTGTCAGGTTTCTGTGGTATTCTGAACTTTACCTCTCAATGCGTAACTATGGCAAAAGACTGAATACAAAATAAAAAGCTAACTCGTTTCAATGTTAAGAAGTGGTGATTGCAGTACATTTTTCTAGTCTGCTGCTTTAGTACAAAAAAGAAAGCTGTCTTCCCTTTCAGGTCAGTTCCAGTGTGGAAACAAACGCTGTGAGAAGGAGGATGGCCTCAAAAGCTGGGAGGTGAATTTTGCCTATGTCGAACACGGGGAGAAGAGGAATGCTTTAGTCAAACTCCGTAAGCGCTATCGTTCTTTGTAAAAAGCCTTTCTGTGTGCGTGTGGGGCCGTTAACATTAAGAACTAAATAAAATAAGGTCATCCTTCAGAGAATCCACTTTAGATGATTACTGTTATTTGAAGACCCACTCATCAGAGTCAAATCAGTGAAATGGTGGAACAAGTTATTTTAACAAGCTGTGTTGCTTCCTTTGTTTTGTTTGGAACTAAGAGTAATGCCCAGTTTGTGCTAATTCTAAACCAAGTATCTTATCAAAAATTGAATATCTGTTAAGAAATGGAAAGCGGCCTTCTGAACCAAGGACTCAAAATAAAAATAAAAAAACAAACATTTGAGAATGCTGTTAAAAGAAGAGGTGATGCAGCATAGTGGTAAACATATCCAACATTCAACTTCTTTAATTGAAAACAGCACAACAGCAGTTACAAAATAAAAATAAAAAACAAGCCTCTGTTTATCTCTTTTGGATGGCCACACACTATTTGTATACTCAAACTGAGCATAACACTGTTTTGGCTGTCTTTGCATCGATTCTATAAGGTAGTAATTGTGTGTGCCTGCGTGTGTGTGTTAGAAACACTGAAAATTACAGAGGCCACTAATTGTACAGTAATGGAAATGGCTCATTTCAACATATTTCAACCACCAAATATGGCACATTTAATGGCTGGAATACAAAACAAACTGCATTTGTCTGTTTTTCAACGTTACAGTTAAGCTGATGTAAGAGGTGCAACAATTAACACTACAGCACCCTGATGATGGCTGTCACAGCAATTACATTAATAACAGTAGCAACCATAAGAATATTTTTGTAGCTCACACCACATGGGAGCTGGATGTAATAATGCTCCATGCTTTCTGTTCTAGGTCTGTGCCCAGAATGCTCTTTCAAACTCAACTACCATCACAAGTAAGGCAATTTACAACACATTTGATCTCTTATATTCTGAATGTAGGACTTTTTGCTCTCAAAGGTAAATTTGTAAAGTGTGCACTCCACAGTTAGAAGTAGGGCAGTTCACCATGGACTGAGCACACCGTATACAATACAGCAATAATGCATTTTTTATTCTAGATCTTGATACAAATTTGTATAAAGCCCACAGGCTCCACAAATACTGATGTGGTTGTCATATTGTATTTGTTAGAGTGGAATAGTTTTTTTTTTTTTCATTTGCTAATTATGGAGATTTTTTTGGCTCTGTTTAGGAGGAAGGAGGTGAAAGCAAAGACAAAGACAAAAGGAGGGGTATCGGCAGAGAACAGGGAACCTCCGAAGAAGAAGACGAAGCGTTCAAAGAAACACAAATACAAGAAGCACAAAGGTGAAAAGCTTCTTCTTTTCCATCCGTGCCAAATATGCTGTACTCTAAAGCTACAATCTCATCAGACGGCCAATCTTTCTTGAAATTCTGCAATTGCGTTAATTGAGGTTTCCATTTTGTCCCTATTTTTTGTTCTTTTTTACAGACCCTTCCACCACTTCCAGCACTTCTGAGTCAGAGTCACCAACCTCGGACAAAGGTGGCAGTACGAACCAGACTCTTACACACACTCAAACACACAAGCACTTTACATAATTAAAAGCGTACATGCGCATTGGACAGACAGTTCATGATCTTCTCACCTAGCTGTTCGCTCTTGACACTCCAGATGTCTAAAAATAAAAAGACCATGTCAACATCAATTATCCCTGCAGTTAATTATAACAGACTGACAGAGGCTCTGTGTTCTCTAACAGGTTTTTATTTAAAATTCTGTTCGACTTTATTACCTTTTTTTGTACTTTTGAGCTCAGTGCAAACAGCACGAAGCAAAGAATAGGTTTGCCCTGTGTGCATGTTTTGTATCTACCAGGGTCTTGATTGATGAATGGGTGAATAAGGGCAAGCGTAAAATTTATTTTCTACACATTTTATGACAACCTTTAGCACAGCCACCACTAATATTCATACATAACACTGTAGTTGTATTCTATGCTTTAGTTCCATATATGAAACATCGGTTTTGATGTTAAATGTATGCCGTAGGTTCTAGAGGGGCTACAGACATTAACAGTTATGGAGGAGCATAATGCAACATCTGCCGTCACCAGCAACATTCAGCCCACGTTAGGATTAATTTCACATTGCTGTGGGGTGAATAAATTTGCTGTAGGACAACCAGTAGTTTTATTTATTTTTTGGTTTGCATAAAACATCTGGTCCCTAATGGGTCTTATAATTGGGCAATTACAACCTCAGTTTAACAACAACACATATTTCACAGTGTCATTATTGTCTTTATTTAATGTTATTGTTTTTTTTTAACAAGAACGAAAAGCAGGAGTTAAAATGCAAAAATGGTTTATGTAAAACCCAAGTACAACCCCTAATTCAGAGCCTTGTAAAACCACCTTTAGTACATATTACTAACAATAAAAGGCTGCTTCAGTTTATTAAAACTAATGGACATGTGTTTATGCATAGCTCTCTGATATCCCAATCTTAATCATTATGAGGTGTTGGCTATTGCAGCACCCTGATTATTTTTCTCTTTTCACTGCCATTGCTGATCTGTTTTTGTCCTGTTGCAGGTCTAATTTGGAAAATAGTTGCCAGACTGATGGCTTCACTTTAGTATTTTATTTTAGCAGTATTCTAGTATACGCAGCACTTCACCTTCACTCTGTTTGTCTGGCCAAAATGGGACTTTTAAAATACTCTGAAATATGTTAATCAATATATATTGGGAGTCTCTGTACACCATAAATAATCCAACAAAACTGTGTGTAGGGAAAGAAGGCCATGCAGTTGAAGAACAGTATATTCTCCTCCCTCCAACTTCCTTTTTAGAGGGCAAACTGTAGCTTAAACTGGTGAACAATGGTTACATATTGAGTTAGTCTTTCTGCCTGGAGATGTGACTGACCTCTTCTGACACTTTCCCATTAGACAGTGAAGGTGGGAATGAACCGGATGACCAATCGGAGGCCGAGCATTGGCGAGGACCTGCTCCCACTGTGGAGGAAAAATCAAGGTGAGGTTAACTAAAAATAGTGGCACTAAATCTCACCCAGTAACCTCCTGTAAAACGATTGGAGACAGTCACTCTCTCACAGAGTTCATAGGTTGCTGCTCTCTCTATGCAGACCACTTAGACCCTCCACTAAGCTCTTTAACCTGTCGGGTCAGGAAAGTTACAAAACGTTTGAATTGTTTGTGAGTTAAATTTGTCTTCCTCCTGCTCCCCACCATGTTCTTTGTGTGCTCTGTACCAGTGTTGGTAGTCAACATCATTGCATATCATGCAGAGTACTGACACTGCCAGAGTTATTCGGGGTCTTCTCCCATGTGAAGCATTCAATCGTTTAAGTCAGCACTGAGCATGACAGAGACTGACATTTCTGTGTTCTGGTTGTTTTATCTGTTTAGGGAGGAAGAATTTGATGAGTACTTTGAAGACATGTTCCTTTGAATCTGCTGGTATCAGCAGCAACCCTGCTGTGACTACACTTCTTTTGAATCCTGTTGACATTAAGTATGTTCTTTTTGAGTTATATGTGTATGAAATAAACATAATGTTTACGCAGCCTGTACCTGTCAGTCTTTTATTTACACTCCTGGCATTGCCTGTGTTTGAGTCTCTTCTGTATCATGGTGAGAATAATTGAAAAACAGTTTCAAGCGGCATGCCTCTAGGGATGGAAATGTCTGACTTACTGCTAAGCTCCAGCATGAAAAGTATCTAGTTTTTGATGGATTGCTCTAAAGATCTATGTCATATTGTGATGAATTATTTGAGAAATGCTTTAACTTTTCAACTTCTGCAAACATTATGTCGTCTAATAATTTAGTACATCTCCCTTTTAAAATCAGTTTCAGATCTTGGTCCTATGTGATATTTTCTAGAACTAGGTTACCCATATCCCATTTCTATGTCTGACAAACATTTTAGGATTCTCATTCATGTTTCAGTTCGTTGTTTCGTTTAAAAGCTTAAAACCAAACCGAAGAAACATGCTCCTTATTTAGAAGTGTGCTCTTAAAAACCTCATGAAATTTTTAATTTCAGCGGATGTTTTTGGATTGCTCAAATTTTTCTCTGTGGAGCAGACCAAGCTTTTCAGAAGGGTGACAACCCCATTTGCCTCCTTTTTTCACTGGAAAGAGGGAAAACTATGCAAGATTTGTATTTCCTATTTCTTTCTCCGTATTTCCTGACTGTAATTGACTTAAGGCCTGTGGCGTGTTCACAATTACAGTTAGAAAAGGCAAAATGATGCAAAATTTGAAAGTCTGCCTTGACTCTTCAAACCCAACAGTCAGAGTTTCTCAAAGTTGATGCCATATTTTTTCTTTCTCTAACAAAAAAAACCCTTTTTCATAATCCTCAATTGCGTTGGAGTTAGACAGCTCTGTGTTTTCATCATGAGAAACTTGATGAAACTAATTGAGACTTGCTATTTCTGCACTCACAATACAGGGGTGCAATGTGACCAGAACAGTATGACTAAACGATTTATGATCTATGTTAAATTGTAAATGAACAAGGTCCCGAAAGCAGACTGTAAAAAAGGAAAATGCACGAGGCCCCTCAAAGGTTTAAACCTTTGCTGACACAAAGACTGTAACTCTCCTTGTTGTGGCACTATATGTCTTGCTTTCTCTTTTTGCTTACCTTTCTCAGTCTTCCTCTCAGTGATTCATAGCAGTGTAAACTAACAGATGGTTAAATATGGTACATTGAGCAATAACACTGTGTTCTTTTTTGACTGTAGGGAGGGTACCATTTGGCCTCAGGTTAAAATAGTGCACTTGCAAGCATTTACAGTTGATCAATAGTGCTGTCAACATCTGCTTTTTACAGCATAGGAATTTTTGCACATGTCTGGATAGCCTCTCACAAATGTACAGGGAGGAATTTTGCACACCCTGTTTTTTTAAACAGCCCTTCAGATTTCCACTCTTTTAAAGACCTGAAACTTAGCTCTTAATTGCTAATAACAAAAACATTAATAAAGGAGAAGCAGATGGCAGCTTGTGAAGAGAGTTCTTAAGGGGGTCCTGTTGATGAAAGGGTTAAAGTTGCTAATAAGCCAAATAAAATGGGCTCTGTTCTGTAAAAAATGTCCACTTTTGGAGATGTCTCATCAGCATGCCTTCTTTATAAAAAAGGCATGCTGCGTTGCTTTACTTAAGCTTTGCGTTTTTCATTTCTACATTTGTTATAAGATCACCTAACCCATTAGTTTCCACATTTAAACATGCAGAAGGGGTTGAAAACTGGCCCCAGGAAGAGCACTGAACAGGCAGACAGCACTGAAGTCAGATAGGGATGAGAATCAATCCACTGATCCTCTTGCTTCAGTGGCTCATCCAGCTTTGGAGCCTTTTAAGATCCTGCAAGATATATGACTAAGAAGGAGCGCTGTCGTGGTTAAGCCGAAGGACTCTTGAGTTCACTTTCTGTCCAACCTTCAAATGCACGAATGCAAACACAAGATTAAATGACATGGCTGTGAAGGTGCACAGCTATAATCATAATGAGAAAAGCTATACTTTATTTTACACTTCCATGACTTTCTACATTCATTTATATATATTATGTCTTATAGTTTACACATTGGGTTGAGGTAATTTCATACATCATATAACAGATTTCTAATGTCTCAAAGTCAAATGGTGGGATAAGCAGAAAGCATACAGCGTATTAGTTTAAAGGATCCAAAAAGGATAGTTAGAGGCTGTTCATATCACTGGAAACAAAACTGACGATGTCACCATCACCACAAAATAGTAAAGCAGAAAAAGTGGAGTAAATTCCATTGTAAAGTATTTTTCTCAGTGCTTGATTTGTAAAATGATTACAACTCCAATGATTACAACAACTCTTCCCTTCATCTCAGGAAGCAGACAAGGAGTTACCAGGTTGTCTCAAAGCTTTGCTGATAGGATTAAACGTCTTTGATTGATGCCCCATTGATTAGAGGAGATGACATTGCGTAACAGGAAGTTAGGAGCTTGCTTTCACCCAGTGGGATAGAGGATACAATGATGTTGCACTGTAAGCTTAGATGCCTGACCAGATCAGTTTGGTTTAGGTTAACGAAGAAAGGTATTGATTAACAATCATCTGATCAGTCAGACAAGCGGAGAACTTTGACTGGGCTATCATACAATCAATGGGGTAAGATCTGCAGCTTCACAAAAACGTGTTGCCCGCACACACATATAATAAGACATTAGCAGCCTTATTTAACCCTGCTGTAATGTGGGTATTTAAAGTCTAAAGTTGTGTGTATCTCAAACCTTGGCTTGCAAACAAATCCTATCAAAGCTTCTTATAGGAGGGGTCGATGCCCTGAATGGCCTGGCTTGTCTGCTTCAGGGAAGCAAGAGTTGCTTTCACAGCCCTCAACAAATATCTTTGTTATCCTTCAGTTTTTATCAAATTTGCACAATGTACATTTTACAGTTTCTATGGTATAAACTATATACAAGTGAGTTCATGAAAATGACATGGAACTTCAAACTTGATCTAAACATTGAGGTTAATAATACATATTTCTCCAGGTTCAAACAGCTTTAAGATGTCAGTCAAAGCTGGCAATAACATTTCAGATCGTATTTCCCGTGCCCGAATGACATTTCTGCATACAGAACACCCTCTCTCAAAGCTCCTCTTAAAGTTTCCTTTCAAGAAAACACAGCAAGTACAAAATACTCAAAGAATCACAAAAAAGTAGTATACAGATTAATTGCATATTAAAATTGAAATACCTTCAGCATCATATCTGTGCCTTTTAAAGTACAAAGTAAGCCCTGCTGCCTGACGTTATCACTCCCTACCACTCCCTCTTTAAGTGTTTGGGGATTATTTTCATATTTCACCGGCCTGTGTTCCTTTAACCGTTACAAATAATCACAAGTGAAATAGTTTGTCTTGATTACAATGCAGTTATGTTGTTTTTCTGCCTCACTGGTCTTCTTGTCTCTTTTCAGACCTACCACTGCCATTACATAAGCAGCTCAGTCTGTTATACAAGCTACAGAACTGCTGTACTTTGTGTCAGTGACTGCCAATAAACACCATGGCTGAACGGTGCTGCTTTGACATGTGTATGCTCACAAAGCCAATGTTTAAAACTATGCACAATAAAGAATTAGAATTTTAGAATGATCTGCACATAAGCTTGTCCAAGCATGAATCCAGAACATGTCAGAAATAGCACTGTTTTACAGGGAAATACCTGTTGATCAATCATGTTTAACCTTTCAAGTGTTCTTGGCCTCTTGGGATACAAAGCATAGTTTTACATGTGTCACCTCTTTGGACTTAAACATCATCTGCAGTTATAGTCCTGATATTACATCTTTGTAAAGTATGTTCAATCCCTCTCGAAGACAAGCTAACACATTCCAGACTGCACCGCAGACCAGTATTAGCTAAATTATGACTAATATAGTTCTCTGAACCAGACGACACCAGAGAGGGCTGAACTGGTGTGGACTGGGTAGTAGGAACAAAAAGGTCCAAATGATGACTGTCAGACCAGAGGAGAGTAGAGATGTCTAGATCAGTCCTAAACAGTCCAGATCCAAATACCAGAAGGCCTAGCAGATGGTGCAGGTCTTTGACTTCCCTGCCTCTGCGGCAGCACCACCTCCAGCTAACCAAACACACAAGAATAAGAGTAAGTACATGATGGTCAGTAGAGCAGATATATATGTATAGAGAGAGAGATATCTATATATCTATAATAACATAACAATAATATTATAATAATATATTATTATGTGTATTTTACCTTTCTTGGCTTCCTCTTCTTCGAGTCTCTTCTTCTCATCTTCTATGGCTTTCATCTTTGCATTATAGACCTCAGCCAGCTCGTTCCAGTGTGCCCTGTTGTTGTTCAGACCATCAAACATGGGCGTAATCTCTTTGTGGAACCTGGAGAACTCCTAAAAAAGGTTTAAAAAAAACAACATCAAGCGTGCGTCATTTTTGTTGTTGACTTCTTAAGGTGATAGTCTTAGGAGTTTCTTTTGGCTTTGTTTAATAAAGTATATCTCTTCTAAAGAGCACAGGACCAAAAGGCAGATACTAATTATGAGTATTGTAGCCCTCATGTGAATACAGATTTAATTCTGCATTCCAAGAAAGCATTAGTCTGCATGTCAAATGTTTTTCAATCATCTTTTTTAGTCTTTGAGAGGGTACAGAATTACATCTGAAACTCTTTTAAATGAAAATGTAGTTCAAACGCACACCCAGCAAACCCCAGGAGGAGATTTTTGTTTTGTCTTGTTTAAAAGCAGTGTTTTTTTCATGTTTTGCTTTCCTATAAAAATCACTTGCAATATTTCACCGTCACACTCCTGTTAGAGTTTTGAGTGTGCTTAGACTCTGACACAGATGTGAGCTGTTGCAACAAAGACCCCCTTTTGCTAAATCAGGTTTTCATTTGAGCCATAACCCATATCTTTGTGCGTTTCTCTGTTTGGAGATACACACGAGGAGCCGTGTGCTGTAAAAAAAACAACAAAACTAAACAAATGCTGTTACCTTGTACACAAACGAGCACACAAAGTCGATGAAACCGCACTGCATCTTCGGTAACTGTTCAGCACAGTTTCTGTCCATCATGGGCTGAGAGAGAAAGAGGAGAGATTGTTATTTGAAAGGCAGAAGAAGTCCCATGAAATTCTAAACAACGATAACAAAGTGGAAATAAAGAAAAAACGACAAAGGTCTTACAATTGGCTGCTGGTCCAAAACAGTTCTCTCCAGATCACCCTGTTCCCAGAATTCAGCAGCAACCATCAGAGCCACCTTCACAGAAAATACACACACAGGGCAACAAAACGTCACAGAGGGGAAAAAAAAGACAAAAGGATGGAAGGTGGGGTTTCCAGTCTTTTATGTTGTAAGAAATATTTTCTTTTCACTCGAAACTAAAGCTGTTACATTTGAAAGAAATTTCAAGTCAATGTTAATTGCCATTAAAGTAACAACACACAAATAAAGAATCAGGCGTGTTGAAACCAGGCTGTTGCCTTCCCCTATAAATCAGGGACAATCTCCTCATAATTCACCATATTTTAAAGAAGTGGCTGAAATGAATCAGACTTTTTGGCGTACAACAAAAAAATCGAAGAAATACTTATTCACTCCTGTACTCACTCAGAGCCTTTTTTTTTAAGTTTAGTTTCTTGCAGTATTCACTTCACGTCCACCCACCTTGCTCTGTACCTCCCAAGGCTTGGTGATGGCAGACAAGTCACAACCTGTCATCATCATGGCCCTGAAGGTGAGAGACAGACAGTCAAACAAACTCTCTGCCGTCTATTCTCGTGACGTTCAAGGACAGGTTGTGTTTGAACTTCTCTCAAAAGTCTACTGGAAAGACTTTTCTCAAAAGCAAATAAACCACATACATGATGATTTCTTTCCTGATGGCGTTGTTGGAAATATAAGCGGTTGCCTCCTTTTCATCTGCCATTGGCTCCGTGGCGTTCACAATATTCTGAAACATGGTTCTCTTTCTGTTGGAAGACAAACAGATGAGAGGGAAATATAACAAATACACAGACTGATTCCAATGCTTGTACATGTCAGAGTTTTTTACTTTAACTTTAACATTCTTTTTACCTATGTTTTAAAAATGTTTTCATACCTATTCATCTTGATTTATATTGCCATTTACAAACAACAAGATTAAAACATCTTTAGACTTCACGGATCAAACTTCTCTGGTTAATGAGAGAATTTGACTTGCAGTCAGTGTACTGGTTTGAGGTCAGACGCTTGTGTCAGTTCTTAACTTTTGGTCAGAAAGTAGCAAAAGCACCAGTCAGATGGAAGTGAAGTAAAAAAACAGAAAATGGACACAATAAATCGAATCGAATGACCTGTCGTTACCGTGTCATTACACATTAGGATTCCTTTATATATCTACAATTCAATTTCTACATTTTTTAGAATAAAAGTATTTTTCCTTTTCATCTCCTTCGTAGCCATGATTGTGGATGTTAACGTTACATCACCTTTTCCTTCAGAGAACCTACTTGAAGTAAAGGGCCAGATCTGTGGCAATGATGCAGACATCAAACAAGTGCTGGACCGTCTCAAACTGTCGCTTTTGGAGGTTACAGAAGATGTTTAAGTTCTGCAGGAAATGACACAGGCCGGTCAAGATAAACAAGGCTTCCCACCAAGCACCACTTAAATATCTCAGATTCATTCATTTTGCCACCAATCTTGATTCATACCTCCTCCCCCATGAGGATCTTGCTGTACTCCAAGTGGTGCCTCTCCATGATGGAGGAGCCATGAAGTTTGGCCAGAGGAGATGTACTCCTGCAGGGATGGGAAAAAAAACACCCAGTGTGACATCAGTTAATCTTTTTAGTCAAGTTTGCTAACATTCTCCACATATTCACGGTCAGAGTTTCAACTTGCTTTGTTTGGTATAGGTTGTTGGTCCCTCTGTGGTCAATATCATGGCAGAAAGCTGCAGCCACCATGGCAAAGGCATCTAGATCAGAGTAGTACTTTCTCAGCTTTCCTGTCTGCAGCAACAGAAATGAAAATGTCATGGGCTGAGTGGCACAGAGGAGACGTTGAATGATTGATAGATGCATGCATGTGTCAGCATCACTGCATCAGTGTACTATTGGTCAACAATTGAAAAGCTCTTACCTGCAGCAGGCAGAACATAGTGTGGCCTACATTGAAACCATGCCTCCAGTTGTGATAAGTGATGGAACGGTAACCCTTCCTCACTGTGTACATCCACTTGGTCAGTGTCTGAAAGAAAGAAAGTGGTCATTATTCAAAGAGAAGCACAGAGGATAATGTTAAAAACATGCAAACTGCTTCACTGTGCTTCTGTAGCACTTTTCGGAGTGCCATGCAAATTTGTTGCCAAAGGAGCACAACTCAAAACTTAATGTAATACTAAACATTTAAAAACAATAAATAAATTGCTCCTTACGATTAGATTTCAGTTGACATTTCTAAGTTAACCTAAAACATATATTTTAAAAAAAGCTTCCTTACTACATCTCAGTTAACAGGGGTTTGGGAAATAATGATATCCGCCTGTACCACCATGACTCAGAATATGGAAGGATAATGTCCTAGTTTAAAGCACTGCTGGAAACATCTTTTTTGAGCTGAATCATTAATTTGAGTGAAAAGGTGACTCACCTCTGCAGGAACTTTAAACTTTTCAACAACTCCGAGCTCAAAGAACATGCGAATGCCGGCTTTGATGAGACCAAACTCTGAAACAGGGAAGTCACTGAAGGCGAACGAATACAAATTTTCACCATCAACGTTGTCTGCGGCGGGGCAGGTTGCCCTCTGAAGAAAAACGCACACCATATTTCACATAGAGGCTTAAAGAAATCATGGCCTATTTCGAAAGCACAGATCAATATATGATTGCGATTTTTTTTACAGTTTTATAATTAGGTTTTGTGATTTGGTTTGAAGAACACATACCAAGAGCTTGTACATCTCTTTCTGGTCACAGTCTTCCGGATCTGCATCAAACTTCTCCTTGGTGTTCTTGTTATAAAAGAAAGAACAACCATTTGACATTTACATTCTATCCATCAACACGCTATGGTCCTGAGGAGTAATTTACAGCTTTTTCTTTATGTCATTTACTGAGAGATTTGAGACAAGTGCTCCAACTGTAGCCTTTTGAACTCCTCCATCACATTTTTAAATGTTAGTTCCCAAGTGAATAGGTAATCCACCAGACCTTCCATTAGTCCTTTAACGCCTCAGGTGGAGAACTGCTCTTCAAAACGCGATCTACTGAGCGTCACTAGAAATTGCTGCCTTCAATTGCCTCTTTAGCAAATGTGGAGAGATCAAAGGTGTGTTTATGTAGAAAGAAAAGTTTTGCTCATACTGACCAGAATTGTCTGCATCTCTTCTGAGGTGCACGTAGTCTGGTACAAAAGCATCTCCTGGGCGATCTCTTTCCTCCACTCCATGCGGTTCAGCCTGTCATAGGTGTCACAGTTCAGCACCGACCACCCCAGGAACTGTGTCAGGGCCTGAGACGGAGCAGATACAAGTGAGGAAACATATGATCACACAAACAAGAGGGAGATGTAAAGCACTCCTCTGAGGAAACTTGTTTAAAGGAGTGAACTAACGACACACTGGATAATGTTCACAGGAATTGAGAGTAAATGTGAACCTCAGTGATCTGCTCGTCATGTTCGTCGAACGGTTTGCCGTCTTTCCTGTTGAAGAAGGTGGCGATGCCAACAATTTCCTCCTTCTTGTTGACGATTGGCAGCGACAAGACGTTTTTGATGACAAAACCCGTTTCGTCCACAGCCTCTTTCTGCAAAACACAGAGACGTCTGTTGAACCGGGGCTGTGCTTTTGGCTAACACAACCCTCAGCGTAGCCCGCTGACTACAGAGGAGAGACAAGCAAACCTGGAAGGTGAAGTAGTCATCTGCAGCCACGTTCATCATGTTGCAGATCTGCAGGCAGTCACAGGAAAACATTTGGTTGGCTTAAACTTTGTCATCACCCGTGCCATCTTGTGAAACACTTTAATATCTCTGTTTATCCTCTGTTTTAAGTTTGGGAAGAAGCTGACACTGTGTGTCTCTCATAAGCTGTTGACAGGTTGATAAGTGAGTAGACTAGATACAGATGATCTCTGTTTTTGTTCTTGATCGATTTGTGATTATGGGGAACTGGAGCACTTACAAAGCCATTCTCTGCAACATAGGTTGGCAGTCCGCTGACCAAAGCCCAGTGATCTGCAGGTGGACCTCTGAAAAAGCATGACAGGAAGTAATTAAAGCACGTTGCATTTTGAAAAGCACCGTTCTGAATTTGAGCGCATTTTTAGCATGTGGCTGGTGTTACTCACGGTATGACTTTGATTTCTTCTTTGCCTTCCAGGAGATAGTCAATGATTTTGTAAAAGATGATTTCCTGTAGAAATAAATACAAATTGTTGCTAAAAAAAACACTTCTCATCTTCAGGTTTATCAATAAGTTAAGGCCCCCAATGGGGAGATACACAGGTATATATTCTACTTTGTAATTCGCTTTTGATAAAAGCGTCTGTTGAATGCATAAAAAGAAACATTTAAAGTGTGATGTGTGAAAAGACAACGTGTTCAAGAGAAAAATGAGTTTGTCACCCTGCCGTCTGGTGTTTTTGGTCCTTTATAGGGTTCCACATCTCCAAGTTTCACTGGCCATTCATCATAAAATTCCTGAAAAAAAAACATTTAAAGAGAAATATACTGAGGCTTTTCATGTCCATAGCTTTAAGCAGAATGTAACAGCAGAAAAAACCAAATTGATGCCTAAAAAAAACCCACCTTCTCTTTGGTCATGTCCAACAGACCCACTGAGTATCGGTCACATTGCAGATATGTCCTCACAGTGTAAAGGGCTTTGTGGAACTGTCGCTCAATGTCTGTCAACTCCTCAAACACTTTACTGGCTGACCAGAGCAGCACCTAGTGCCAAATGAATAAAAAGGAGATGCTTTTGTATACTTTAAGAAAAACACAAAACTTTCTCTTTGCAGGTAATGAGCAAGGGGAATTGTAGTGGCTAGAGTATATCTTGTCCATTTCTGCCACGTGCTTTCCAGAGAGGAAGCACATATATTTGTAAAAATTCTGGCACTTGAGTTCACCTGACTCCTCCTGGACTCCACGTTGTACATGTAGGATGTGAAATGCTGCAGGGCGACGACTTGAGCAAACGTCATGTACTTGTGGAAGAGCTATGGGAAAAAACAGACTTCTTTTAAAAATACACCACTGCAAGACATCCAAAAACATCATCACCACAGAAAAAAATATAAAACATTTTCTTAAGCACAGATATGTGGGTTCATAGAAGGTAAACTGATGAAGCTTCATTTGATAGGCATGCTTAGAATCCAGCCTCTGTCAAATACATATGATAACATTGAAATTCAACAATTAGAACTCATACAAAACTGCCCAAAGCCATTGCTTCTATCTTTTCTACATACTGTACATTTGAATAGATGAACAGGATGTTCAATCTGTCTTTGCAGGATAATGACAGCTGTTGACACTACTGTGCTCTTTGATGCAAGGTACAGTTGTGTTTTCCTTAAAAGCTTAAACTGAATTTTTGATGCATGGAACATTGACTCACAAAAGAAATAAAACAATTATAATGATATGAGACATTTTATTGCATCCGCCATGTTAAAGCCGAAAGCATTTCCATGAATCTCTTAAGTGAGAATCAACTCCAGCTGTCTCAAAAAACAAACATTTTTTCCATCTGACCCAGTTTGTTCTTTATAGAATCGTGCCTCGGTGAGACTTTATGGCTTCAGAGGCAGCAGAGCATGTGCCCAGACACAGACCGCGGAGATAACATTTTTCTTGGCAAATGTTGCCTTTTCTTCTCCTTCTTTTAGGTTGAGTTTACCTGACTCTTCTTCTTTCAGGTTGATTGCTCAAAGTCAGAGAGGTTAATGATTGACTGACTAGATAAAATCACATTAGTGAATTACTTTCTGTTGGATCTTTCAAACTGTAATATGAATTTGAATTTTAAAATGAACAAGATTTATTTGTGTAATATTGAATTGGATTTAATTGAACTGTCAGTGGACTGTTTTTTTTAAATGCTTAGAGATGACATTTGTTGGGATTTGACATGGAGAATTGGAGGCCAGGCAGCTAATAAAACAAAACATAGGATTCAGAAATTCCACAAACAGCAGCTCGTGTTTTATTTTAGTAGTAAGAGGTTTTATTTTTACAGTTAAAGTCTTTTAGTCTCCAGTGTAGACAAGACTATCAAGAATGGCAAAGTATACACAACACAAGCGTTTGTCCCATCTCACTCCACATTGGATTAGCTTGAACGTTCTTTAAGAGTTTAAGCATCTATTCTTACCTTCTCATCCTCTGCAGTGAATGCATCTGCTCCAATTTTGTTGAGTGCCATGACGACTCCAAGACATTCTTTCTCGGCCATCAGAGGGAAAGTAAGCATACACTTGGTCTTGTATCCAGTCTGTTTGTCCACAAAGTCAGAGAACTTTGGATTCTGGATCAAACAAAAAATGGGAAAGTAAAAAAACCTTGTATATCGATCCATTGAAATGGAAAAATAGCTTAATGATAATTTTTCCTGCTCATGACTCAGCTACCGAATCTAATGTCCCCATTTTTCTCAAATCCTTCAATGGCAGCTGGCTGTAGATCTGCAATTAGGTTTAATTTATTGGCAATGATTCAATCATAGTAAAGATAATAGTTTTATACTGCCCATGTTATGTCATAGTACTTCCGTTTTACTCAGTAATTTAATTTTCCTAATTGAAAAGAACTGGAATACCATTATGTAACATGCTATTAATAGAGAGGCCAAAGATAAATTCCTTTTCTGTTAAGTGCATTGTGAACTTTTACCTATGGGACTTTATTTTAGTTATCTATCCCATGTAGTTAATACATGGAAATTTATTTGGAAGCAAACCACATTATGCACCTTTTTCTAGGAACCAGACCTGCCTGTGTCACTCAGACAACAGACTTAATTCCCAGCATCCTGATTGTACAGGATACTCCAGTTACTTTCTTCTTTGTCTTTCCCACCTCAACAATTAATTTAAACCCAATATTCTATATTATGTGCAATTTTGCTTCCTCCAAGTTATATGGGATTATTTGGTAGTTTTGCCTCATATAGGGACAGGAGTTTTATCTTTGTATTTAAGATATGTATTTATATATTTTGAAGTCTTTGCAACTTGGTTCTGAAGGTCCAAATGACTTGATTACAACATTATAATTACACAATACATGATTGGTTGAAAACATACGAAAACATTTTATTTTAGATTTAAAACATTAGTGTCTGATCGTGTCTAATACGAGGCCAAAAGGTAAAAAAAAAAATAGAATGAATAGTATCATGGTACAGAGAAGCAAAAATGCAATGTCCTCAAATGAGGTTTTCAGGAGGTTAAAAAAGTCATTAAGATGTCAGAAGTCATTTTGGCATGTTGAATCTTTTTAAAGTGCAGGAACTTTTAAACCCTCTTACCTTTGTGACATCTGGGACATTTTGTGGCTTTTTTGAGTTGGCTGTGTGACCAACAACGCCCATTTCAATAGGGAACACAATTTCAGCTTGTGGGTTGACCAGGTTGGCCTCATATTTAGATGTAGGAGTAATGTCAAAGAGGCAAGTGGAAAGCTCGGGTGTACCGTTTCTGGAACGGAGGGTATAGTAGCTGATCCTGTCGGCCTGTACAATCATGGAAATTCTCTGCAACACTTTGTGAAGGCTCTTTTCCATGTTTCCCGGTTTCTGCAACTCCTGGACCAGGTCAAAGATTATGGCGGCCTCTTGCACAGAGTTAACATCCTTGAACGATGCGGTGTCTTTGATGTCAAGGGTTGTAGAGAAGGCAGCGGTTAGGGCTTCTGCTCGTAGCTTCTTATCGAAGTATTCTTTGGCGAACTGTGGGTTGTTCTCCAGGTATTTTTCCACACTATCCTTGTCTGCCATTTTGAACTTGAACTGTGCCTTCTTTTTAAAAAGAAAATCACCAAAGCATCACCCGCAGGTAGGTGTTCAAACGGAGATCTGAGCTGGGTCCTGGCCCTCAGGTCTGGATGGTTCAGTAGTGTCCCTTCGAGCTGATGTGCATCCTCCTCTGTAGACTCAAACCATGTCCACCGACTGACAGAACAGGGCAGAGTGCAGCTTAGAGGCTGAAAGGATAAAAGTAGCTGCTAATTAATGTGACGTCATGCCATTAAAACCCTTGCTTTAAGCATCTTTAACTCGCAAATCCTAACGTTGGTCATTGTACATGAGGCAATCCTTCCCAGCTAAGGGAGAGTGAGGTATCACAGGTCAGATGCCTGGTAGCACAGTCCAGCTCCATCCTGACTTGAGGTAAAGAAGTCGATACAGCACAGGAGGAACAATGTTGAAACTATTCTTCATGGGTTGAAAGGGTTATAATCTAGTTCCGCTTTTGAGGATAGACATCACTTGTCAAACCTTTTGCTTGCTCCATCTGTGCAAGCTGAAATGTTTTGTTAGAGTATGAACTGATTAAATTCAAACAGGTCTTTTGGTACACTCAAGGGACAAGACATTATACTATAGAATATATAGTTTAGTTTAACACCTGTAGTTGGACACAAAGAGACACAAAACACCAGCAGATATAATTGATGCATGTTTCTCAGTCACTTGTATGGCTTTGTTGTCATTCCAAGACATTGTGCATAATTGTTGGTGTTTCATTTTTTTCTTGTCATATTATTTTGTTTTTGCTTGTCTCAAGTGTCTTTAGTCATCATTTAGAAAAATAGTGACAGTAATGTTGTTATTATGAATAATTCTTTCAACTTGTGTGTTTATTCCAAGTGTTTTATTAAAATGTTTTTAAGATGTGGTTTTTCTTAGTCCTTTTCAAAGTGTTTTTGATTGGTTGTCTTTTCCATTGCTTTTTGATGGTTTATTGGAAAAACTTAGAAGCTGATTCCTTCAGGTACAGCGTATCTACAATGCAAACTCAGTCAATAACTTCTGTTTGGCTACCGCGTTCCCACTTGTAAATACCAAGTACTTTAGGAGCATTTCAAATGTAATTTCTATAAATAAAAGGATAAACAAGTGGGCTGACATTACAGTACGATTTTATAAGATCAAATTGCTTTTATAAGCCAATTACTGGACTCAAACCAGCAGGCTACATCGGCTCCTGTCTGATGCACCATCCCTTGTTTCAACAATTATAGTAATCGAGAGACAGCGGCTTCGCTAGCAACAAATAACCTTCCTATCCACACCGCAATGGCTGTTGCAGTGTTGTTGTTACGGTGAAGCAAGCTCCTAAATTCTGTCATTCAGCAGTGATTGCTTGCAGAGCCTTAATGACAGCCTAAAAGCTCTCATTGTGAAAGCATCCCACTTGTGCATTAATGAAATCACAACAGAGGTATCATTCCTAGGGCTGGGTACTAGCCAATCATGGGGTTTGTTGGTGTATGATTAAGTCTCTAAATAACAATGGTGGAACATTGTTAACTTTGAATGGGTTTTTCTTGTTAGCTGCTTGCGGACTTGGAAGAAGTTCCCAAATTGATGAGCTCAATTGTTCAGCTCATACGACACATATTCTGTTATATCTGAACAGTCATTAGAACTGAATTTTGGTTTGAAATAAATAAATAAATAAATTCATTATGTCTCCACTTTAAACTCTATCAAAATATTTACATATTTTGATGTATAATTTTCCTTTTTGTGAATCCAAAATTCTAATCTGGTCAGTAATGATGATGTCACATCAGAAAATAAATGAGCAGTATGCTAATCATTAAAAATGCTGTAATAATAGTCAATTAGTTTTTAAGTGTTGTTCAAATGTATGTCCCATGACAGAATTGCCCAATTGTTCACATAAGCAATTTTGTCAAAATGATGACAATTCTGCCTGCAGAAAAACTGGTTGTGCCTCTGTTCTTCCTGGATTGGTAAACTGCAATTGTTTTATATGTTAAAAAGTCCAACAGCAAGCCAACCTGCTGATCCAAAATGCTGGAGGGAAAGTTTTTAGCTTCTCTTCATTGCCCCGCTGTTGAATTCTAAATAGAACATCCTTCCTCTTCCCTTTACATAACATGTCCTTAATGGCAAAGCTTCACTTTATTCCAAAGACTTGAGAGCTCCATATTTCCCCCAAAAGAGTTCTTTGCTCTCTAATTGTATTTATTTTTCTTTGGAAATTGGAATTCTCTCTAAACCTATGCTTAATCTAAACAAGACATTATGGGGTTGGCTTGTTATTTCCTTAGCCCTTGCATTAGTTGTGCTATCATTAGCCTATACTGCTGGAAGACTTTCTGTAATGCTGTTCCCTCAACTCTCGATGACTCAAACTAAACCTGCCATAGGTCTCTTCCTGCTAAAATGAATGTTTCTTCTTGCCTACTTACAGCTCAGACCTTTAGAATGAATCTATGAATCGATGACTGCAGATCTTTGGGTTTCTGAGCTGCCGTTGTATAGATTTAATTAATTCAAACTGGACTGATTTTAATCAGATTGGTCTGAATAAAAATTCATTTTCTTGACATGCACTGAATTGGATGTCTATAATGACTTTGCACAATCTGAAATGCACTTTTGCACAGATGACATCTGCTAAGAATTAGTGTCGTATGAATGGAAATCAATTTAACTGAAACTGATACTGCCCTGCAAATTATCCTATTTTTTTTAGATATATGTTGTATGCATTCTAGGCCAATCAATCTGTTGTGGTGGGGTTGGACTTGGATGTATGGTGCCTTTTACACTCGTAAAGTTTTAAGTGGACCTGCATTGGCCATGCCTTTTATTTACTAGATCATATTATTATTGCAAATTTTCAGTAACTCAAGTTTTTCACCCCGATTCTGGAAGCCTCTTGCTGCCAATAAACTGTTCAAAATGTTAAATGCACACACAGACCTGGCAGTGAGGCACACATATAATTGTGAAATGTTGCTCTGCCTTGGGCCAAACTCCAGCCGCTATTATTTATGCTCAAGAGTGAAAGTGTTGTTTTTTTACTGGTCAGGGTCTCTCTTATGCAAGCTGCAGATGTTTGGCTCTTCTATGCTCCCCCAGCCCACTGGAGAGGGGTTATATGATCTCACTGCAGAAAAACAACATCAACTTACAAAAGAAGTAGTTTGACTATGGAATAAAACATCTTTGAATGGTAAATTGAATAGCTCTTGAATAGTTTACATTACGTGAGAAGAGAGTGGACTCTGCTCGTCTTTTATGCAAACACAGTGCTGAGATAAAGGAGCAACTGATTAAATCATACTGATGGTGGTGAGAAGTGTGCACGGTTACCAGAACGTTTCTTAGATAAATAAAGCTTAAAGGCTTGAAAGACGTTTAACAAAAGTTTTACCATAGACGACAGGCTGTAGTTTCCACTCATAAAGTGTTCTATTCTTTTTTTAATGGGTTTTCTAAGGGAACGTTTTCCATTTTCCATTGTTTTCCATTGTCACTTCATGTTGCCTAACTATCTGCAGGACACTGTGTGGGACATATTTACCTTAGTATCTACCTTAATTCTACAGATAATTATCTGTGGTCCACTTGATCTTGCTGATAATTGCTTTGAAAAAACTAAGAAAACCTGAGTAGGAACAGAGATACCGTTTTCTGGGAGGTTTCAATGAGGTTGTCAACCAAATGCAGAATTGGAACCTGCAGTTACGTAAATGTTTGTCCACGCAGGGCAGGCTAACTGTGGGGAGAAAAGGGGAGTTTCAGGTCCCCTGAAGTTATGCAATCCCATCATGCTCTATATAAGGCCAGACCCACACTCAAAGCTGAGGATCTCTGTGACCTTGCATCTCATTTTTGTAACCAGGTATGAATTGGCAGTGGATTATTGTCTTGCTTTTTCAATTTCTAAGCTAAACCTACAAAGTAATTCAACAAAGATGTACATCTGTTTTTATAAAATGCTGTACAGATGTTTTTATGGAGTAATGTCACGTTCAGCTTTCTTTGACATGAGACTAGAAAAGAAATTTAGAAACAATGTTGCCAGGAAAATGGTTTGACATTTCGTTCAACTCTTCATTTCTCCCCCAAAACTGCTTTCCTTTGGTGTCTTTATTTCTCATTATTCTTTCTATCTCTTCCTTCAATTTTCTTTTGTCCTTTGAGGTAGAATGCTGCGGTACGTTGTGGCTCTGTGTCTTCTGGCATTGTCCTACGCACAGGACTGTCGGATAGAAAATTTCCAGGTCAAGCAGGACTTTGACAGAACCAGGGTGAGTTGACTTTATTAAAGGATCACTTGAGTTCTATTTAACTGTACTAGATACGATCAAAGTTTTTTGACTGGAGATGTAGTCCTTTAACTTTAAATAACTGTGAAATATATCAAATTATTAGACTTAATATGTATCTTTTACTCAAATGTTGCATTAAAAAACATTGAGATGAAAGCTAATGCATTTATTTTTTACACTGTAGTATGCAGGGACCTGGTATGCCGTAGGAAAGAAGGACCCAGAAGGTCTGTTCCTCCTTGACAATGTTGTGGCCCAGTTCACGGTCGAAGAGGATGGAAAAATGACTGCCACTGCTAAGGGCAGAGTTGTCATCCTCAAGTAGGTTTTTTCCACTTTAGTGGAGGGTTTAGAGGCTCGCCTTTCCTGCACTTTGATTTCACAAAATAACCATGTTAAATGCTGGTTTGTTTTATGTCTCTCATGCTTTTTAATGTCTTTTTTTGTCTGTAACACACAGTAACTGGGAAATGTGTGCCCACATGTTTGCCACCTTTGAAGACACTGACAACCCCGCCAAGTTTAGGATGAAGTACTGGGGAGCTGCGTCATACCTTCAGACTGGAAGTGAGAATGATTTAAGTCAACTTTTGCAATACAATCGGTTGATTTCTGCACGCAAGAAAATATGTTAAAAACACACTGAAAAACTTACAGTTAAAATGATTAGAAGCATGCTATGGGTCCAGACCTGATTTGAAAGACAGTTATGATATTAAACCATTGCAGTTTTTTTTTACAACAAATAAAAATCTACCCACATTTCAAAGAGTAATTTAACTGAAATGTCAGCAAATAAATGTCTGATACATAAATCAGAGATTCCAAGTGACTAAACCTTTCAAATTGGAACTTTTATTTAACAGGGGGCTCACACTTTGCATGTGAATGACTGTTCTTAAATCACATCTCCAAGTTCCACAAGATATCTTCAAACTGACAGTGATTTCGTTCAACAGCTGACCTCTCCCTTTATGTGCCTGGTTTCAGATGATATACACTGGGTTATCGACACTGACTACGACAACTACGCCATCCACTACTCCTGCAGACTGGTGGACGCAGACGGCACATGCCTGGACAGCTACTCCTTTGTGTTCTCCCGTCACCCGACTGGCCTGAGACCAGAAGATCAAGTCATCATCACGCAGAAGAAGACAGATATTTGTCTACTTGGCAAATACAGGCGGGTTTCGCACAACGGTGGGTTGATTTCCAGAAAATGGTTATTGATACTCTTTCAGTAGGTGTCTATTAGAAAGGTGAAATAGCGAGTTTGTGCCTTACTAACGTTCACTGTTGTATGTAAGTTACTTTGGAGGAGCAGATTGTTCAGAAACATTCTGAGTAATAATCAATGTTCAACCCTGGTGACATTCCAACTATGAGCAAATGCGAAATCAGTTAATGTATGATGGTGTTTTGCGGCTAGACAGTAATTTCTAATAAGCAAACTGTTTCTGTTCTTTACATTCTAGGGTTCTGCGACAACAGTGATTCCTTTTACCAACAGTGACACTTGAAGCTCCCACCCTTTGCCTGAGATCCTCCTGCTGGTCTCAGACTGAATCCCTTTTGCTTATCCCCACCTCCTCTGTTTATGCTGTCTTGAGTGGATATGTAGACCATTTCCTTTTACAAAAATGAGAATCTGAGAACTATCACATTTAAAAAACAGACTGTTACTAGGTATTTCCCACATTGTTATTATGCTTGGGATTTGTTGGAATGTTGGTTGTTGCCATTAAATGGAAGAACCATGCATTTAGAAAACTGAATTTTCATGGACCTCCTTTTAGTGAGGGAAAAAAAAGATCAAAAGGAAGTTCCAAATCTGTCTTTTACTGAAGTTCCAAATCTGTCTTTTACTGAAGGATATGCAGTATTTTGTAGCACATATGTGCATGTTGTTGATAACCTTTATGGATGGACTTTAGGTGTTAGACGTAGTCATACAGTAATCATTCAGATGTTTTTTGGATGTATAATCTATTCTTTTAAATTCAGTTTTTGAAATAAAACATTCAAATCACACTGGGTCAACAAGTTCTTGATGGAGATTCAAGTATTCCCCTGAAATATTAAAAGCGAGTAATAAAATTATATTGGTACTTCTAAGCTGAAGCAGCGTTACTTAATCAAAATCCAAGAGTAGGAAAAACAAGGCTATACATTTATCTTCAAGCACCACCTTCTTCCCTGGTCACTGAAACATTAGCACGAAATTTTTCTTAGCAACCTTCAAAGATCACAGAAATTAAGTCTGATGGGTTGTTTAAAAGAATTTAAAAAATGTGTGATTTGAATATGTAGATAAACTGACATGAGAACATGTGAAATGTGATTGGTTCATCGTAAATCTGACTGATCTCTAAAAAGCTGGGACACAGTTTAACACAGTGTACCATCTTCTTCGGGGAAACAACGTGATCAATTTATTGATCTTTGTTCGAGAAAGGTCAATTTATTCTAACCACGTTTTACTGATCAAGGATTGTTTCATCACTAAAGCAATTATGTTAACGTAGATATAGCATGGATTTTTGCTAGGTCTTACTTGAATATGCAAGATGTTCACAGAAAAAGATAACACTGAGCTCTGAACACACATTATTCTTAAACCTTTATATACCTGTGGGCAGTGATACCTTTTATGTCGAAGTTAAAAAGTTCCAGTGGCACTCCAAAACTTTCACCAATGCAGGTTTTTGAGCATGGTTTTACTACAACCTGCGTGGTTTCTCCCCTCATTTATCTTTATGTCCATGCTCTCAGTAAAGGAGATTTAAAATTTTGCTTTATCTGATCACAGATCAGTTTGACATTTTAAATGAGCTTTGGATGGAGTAAATCCTTACTGCGATTGGGCAACAGTATCCTGTTGGGTCAACAGTCCAGTAAAGAGCGACATGGAGACTAATAGTACAAAAACAAGTGCTCCCACACACAGTCAATTTAAGCACAAATTAAGCACAGTATATAAGACAGCATAGATATACAACATTCAACATAGTTGAACAACGCCAGCTGTAATTCATTTCTGAACCTTTTCATTCATTTTGTTTATTTGGGAAATGGATGGACTCGTATTTATTTTGCTCTTTTCCAGTCAAACTGACCACTTTACACTCCATGCCAATCACCCAGTCACTGGTGGATACACTGGTAGGCAACTTGGGATTCAGAGCCTTGCCCAAGGACTCTTCTCCTGAAATTTTAATCACTGTATGTCGAAAGATTGTTTTGTGAGTTTACTATTCAATTTAAATCTTGAAGTACCAAAACATCTGCTGGGCAGACAGTAAGCAACCATAATACTTTTATGTATTCTAAGTGAAAAGTTTCATGTGGCAACAATATCACTTTGAAACACGAATTTGCTTTTTAGATTAGTAAAGATGACTTTTCATCAGTGTTCCCTAAAAGCATAATTAAGAATTTATCCCATTACAAAAATAACAAACAAACACTGGACCTGTTAACGATTATTGTGATATGATAAAAAGCAAATAACAAGGACCGCTGGACTCTATGAAGATTCAGGTCTTTATTGCACATTTCTGTACAGTACAAAGCAGAGCACAAAATCCTGGAGTGCATGATTTAAATAAAAAGAAATCAGATGTAAAGATAGAAGCCGCTCAAAATAATTCCCACATGGCACAACCCATACACTCTGCCAAAGTTCAACCAACTACCTAAGAGGTCAGATGGAAAGCAGTGCCTGTCTCTCCTAAATCTATCCAGTCACATTGCCAAGACTGGAGGAATAAAGACACCTTAACCCTTTTCTCCTATGAAGGAGACCTTCAGTAATCCCTACTGTAAATAGTTTAGTACAAGGAATTAACGCGTGCAATCTCATTCCAGCCTTACAGGGCTGGAGGGAAGAATGCACAGACTACCTGCCACATGTGACTAACTAAGCTCCCCACTGCTGTATGTTTGCAGCCTGCTAAGGTCAAGTGAATATAACTAAGAGAAAGATCTTAGTCATAGTCACAGTTGCCTGGTTCTGCAAGGTTTATTCAACTGTGTGCTCGACAGATCATAAGGGTCATAGCGTAATAGACAACAGATGGTGCGTTAGTTTGACAGTTGTCGGCAATTCGGGGGTACTTTAAACAAAAACAAAAACAACTGGAGCGCAATAATATTTCCCCTGTCTCGTGATTCACAACAGTACTGCCATGTCACAGTGGGTGAGGTTACCCAAAATAGGACCAGGAAAAACAAAAACACATTTATACGAGGTTTAAATCAGTGGAGCCTTTTGTTTTACGGAGGTTTGTTTCTGCTTTCGCATAGAATACAATAAAGTTTATCCCATGATTATAGACAGAAATATGCAATTTACTGAAAGAACATTTGAAAAAAAAAAAAAAAAAAAAGACAGTAGCTCACTTTAACAAGAAATCCCAAGAATAAATAAGTGCATCAAATACACACAAAATACTTCAAGCATAAAAAAGGCACAGCTAAATAAAGACACCAGAAAGAAAACACACAAAAAGCTATTTCTTTAGCCGTGTGGTAATAAAAAGGAATGGAGCAATTCAGAAGGCAGGAAGGCCTCAACACATCTATGTTTAGACTAGTCATCTACTAAAGAACTCAAAGATGGAAACAAATACATTTGAAACATGCCGTTTGATTCCCTTTTATCATAAAGAAAACTTGCATAAAACGGTAATAAAGCAAAATGTAAAGTATTTGTCTTTCTGTGGTACATGTTGGATCTCGTGGAGTTATGATGAGTCGATCAGTGCCGTGATATCATCAGGATCCATTTAATTTGAATAGAAATATGGATGTAATCATTATTATTATTTTTTCAAAGTCTCATTTTCATTACAGGCTTCTTTCTAAAATCTGAAAATAAAACTGAATAGCTCGATGTCTTTATCAACCTTAAAAGGTGTGTATAAAAACGTCTTTTCACTTTTGCTGCAGTTGGTGGAAAACGAAACTTTCCTTTTTACCTGGATGTGTTTAAAATATACATTTACATTACATTACAATGCAATACAGTACATGTCCTGAAGATTTCGAAGCACAGGTTGGGAAACACCCCTCAGTGCTGCTGGCTCAGGTCAAGCAGTAGTCAATGTGGGCCAGGAGCTCCCTGTGGCGGCTGGTCGGATAAGGAGCTCGACACTTTGGACACTCCAGGAAACTCTCATCCAGGAGGTTGATGACTTTAGTTGGTGATGTGGTGCCATAAGGGTCATCAAGAGTAAGGCGCTCAAACTCAAGCTTATTGTATGAGCTCGGTTCTGAGAAGCGGGTGTTTGGCTGCTTCTGAAATACAGCAGAAAACATTGGATGTGCTGTATTACGCTAAAGTGCAAACACATGGTCAGGATATCTTTCTGATTGCAACTGAAATGGCTGTGAAAGTCTTGGATACCAAAATTTCCAAAAAATTACTTCAAACGTTTTTTTTTCTTTTAAATTGTGGTTTTGTAAAGACTTGATGTGCCATAAGCAACGGTTAAAGAGCACTCAGTGTAAAATGTTAAAAACTCAAACAAGCTGTTTTACACACACTGCTTTTGCAGCACATCCTGACAACATTGTTCCACATGAGTTGGGTCAGAATTACAACATAACAAGATCCTGGTGAACTTGGATAACATCTTTGGAAAGAGAGTGCATATACAAATACATTGTTAAATTATCCTTTTTTCCCCCTCCTTTTAATCATTTTAATGTTCTTAAATGTATGCCCTGCAATCTGACCACAGTTGGCTGCAGACCACTCAAAAATACCAAATAAACCCCCTTCAAGCAAAGAAAAAAAAGAACTTTAGGAAAAGCCATTATAACCAGCCTAACTCAAAACATATGGCAGAGATGTATAAAACTTACAGCAGACTCCAGTTTAGCAATCTGATCGCGGGCTTTGCGAAGCTCCTTCAGGACCTTATGTAACTGCTGCTGCATGCTCTGTCGATCAATTTTTTCATCCTCAAAATCCTTGGCAGAGAGCTGGATCTTCAGAGAGGCAGTAATTTAAACAGAAAAAACAAACAAAGAGATACATTTTGGACTGCACTTAAAAAACAAACAAAGAAACAAAAGGCACGGTTGTATTACCTGTAGCTCCAGAGCTGCGATCCTCCTGTGTTCTTCATTCTGGCTCAGAAGTGAATTTTGGAGTGAATTTACCTGCGAAGCCCAAACGCAGATTATTAACGTCCTGTTGTGCTCTTGTCATGTTTAGTCAAATGTCATCGATGAGAAATGAGGTGCTCTTTCATGTCATTTCATACCTAATAAAACATACAACAGTAGAACATCACCTGCAAAAGAAGCTCAGCAGATCGCTTTCTCTCTTCTTCCAGTCTGGTGTTAACATTTTCCAGTTCTGCTCTTAATCGGTCCGTCCACTCAGACATTGTCTTCCTTTCCTCATGCGCCGCAGATCTGAATGTTTATGCAATCCACAGAAATACCAACAAATGTTTCCTCTTTACAATTCAACAGTAGTTTATGAAGATAAAAGCAGAAGTGTAATATTCATACACTAGTTGCAATCTCCCATTTAACATTGAACCACAGGTTTGTGCACTTATTTTCTGCTCAAATCAGATTAATAAATTAACTGAGACCTGGCTGAAATGATGGATGAGTTCGGTATCAGCCATGACCCCCGACTTGTTTTACCTGTTGCCAAGTTGCTCCGCCTGTAGTTGCATCCTTATCTCTTCCAGCTCCTTGCTTTTCTCTTGGTACCTTCTCAGAGAGGCTGACAGCTCGCAGCACTTTTCCTCATACTTCCTCTGTAGCACTAACAGTTCCTCTTGGACTCTGGTGACCTGCTCCTTTTGACACTGCAGCTCAGCCTGAGCTTTCAAGGCCTGTGGAGCGGGCAAAAACAAATTGCTAAACAGTTTATATTTTCTGTCTCCTCAGTTCTTCAATCGAGCTCTGAAGATCAATTATAAAGATGTCTGAATCCAAGGACTGTGAGCATTTAACGGCATACTGATTAAATATTGAACCAAGGTTTGCTTCTAATGTGCATACCACATGCAGAATAAAGGTAAGTCAAGGTAAGAGGAATACTTGCATACTAAGAGAATTCAGCAGAAAATGCAATCACATAGAGTCTTTGAATCATTTACCTGTTCCCTCTGCACACTCAGCTCCAGTTGGGCTCTGGCAGTCTTATCTTTTTGGCTCTCCAGGTCTTTCTGCATAGTTGAAAGCAACTGTTGATAGTGGCTTTTCAGGTCAGACTCCTCAGCAGCTGGACATTTTGTAGAAACTGAAATGAGTATCAAATTAAATCAGTGACATTCAATTCACGAGAAAGATTTTTGGTGAGAAAAACTGTATTAAATACTGTGTATTATGTACATTATTTCTGTGTAAGACTGCACAGCTTTCAACTATCAGATTCGATTCTGTACAAACTAATAGTGAAGCATTTATTTGGTTTGAACTTTTAAAAAGGAAACATTCACGTATTATATTATGTTTAGTCCTTTAGAGGATGTGAGAGGTTTTTACCTTCTGAACTGGCCTCTGGTTTGGTTTGCTGCTGTTTGGCCTGGGCCAGCTGCTGCTCCAGCTCCATTGTACGTGCAACAACAGACTGCACATAGGCCTCTCTCTGCTGGTCATAGACCAGCCACTGCTGGTTCTTCTCAAGAGCCTGGTGGTGAAATGCACCAGGTTTACTGTGACATCCTGTATTTCTTCATTGGAAAGATGCTTAAACTGCTTAAAACCCTTAAAATCAAATTATCTCCAATAAAATATTAGAGCAATAGCCATTCCCAGACTAAAAATTATATCCATTAATCTACTCTTTGAAGAAGTCTCTCTCTCTCTCTCTACTGTATGTATATATACAAACTATGGTAATACCTTTGCAAAAACATGCAGAAACACTTACATCTCTCAGCTGATCTTGCACCCGTGCCGAGTCTGAAAGAGGTGCTTGTCCATTCTGAGGAGAGGAAATGTTTTCAACGATTACTCCACCATTTTCTTTACAATCCTGCATAAAGAGGTTATTCTGCAAATATATTTGAGAAGATTCCGCTTCTGACATTAATTTCAGACAAAACTGAACGAATAATAAATTGTGAACTTAATCTTTTCAAGATTCTCATATCAAGGTTGTTCATGCTGTTCTATCTTTATGTTGCTCACTTCTCGGGGGAAAATCTCAGAGACACAAAACCGCAATTCTGCCACAGGCTCTGACTTACAAACAGGCCTGGTGCTTTAAATCATTCAAATCAAGTTTGAATAATGCAAGAAAAACATGCTTGAGCAAGCAGTCAGTCTTTTCTCCACTTTGCAAAAGTTTGGCTGCATGATCTAGAGCACAAACCCGAGAGCCAGCTCCATTACAACCATCCCTAAAGGACCAGCACCCTATTGAGAGTTCCATTACCTTAAGTCAGAGATCAACAGTGTTTGAATTGCTTGAGATGGAGAGGGCATGTGGGTTGGCTGGTCAAAACAAGTGATTAAAAAGCAGAAAGCGTCCAAGTGAAGGTATTGAAAATAAATTTGTGTAAAAATAGATAAAACTGGACTGTCAGTAAAATAGGAGAATGCCCCAAACTGAAATAACTACTACTAGTTTGCTGCCAATAATGGTCTGACTTTAATTCAGTATGTTAAAATAAAGACTATGGGGGACATTTGTAAGGTTTAATTTTGACTAATTTATCATGGAGAATTTAACCCTCACCATGACAGATTAGTAAGGTTGCTCAAAGGAGAGGCGATGTCAGAGAAATCAGGTGAAACACTGCCACCTGGTGGGGATGCTTACAGCTACGACTGCAGTCCTAAAATAATGCCTTTGTGACCAAAAATAATTGTCTATCAAAACTTACAAAAACTTGTCAAATTAGCTGATAAAAATAAGCATAGAAAGTAACACGAGCCACTAATGGACAGATGTCAAATCTCAAAACACAACTTTAGGACACCAGCTCTGATAACTCATTTACTAAAGTACGAGTAAACCTGTTTGTACCTCAAACAGAATTATATCAGTTGAAACATATAGCAGTTCCAAAGAGTTCTGCTTACAGAACCAGCCCTTTAAATGAGTACAAAGGATATGAAATGGAGGAAATATTTGGTTGAAGGACAGAGGACAAATGTGTTGCATCACCCATTTTATTTTATTTTTAATTAGCAGGGGAAATGTAAAAAGGAGGTGGTATGTGAATACTGAACCAACTATGCACCTCACGTTTGTCTAAAATCTTTGTTCCTGATCAATAATGCCAGCTCAATTCCTTCTCTTCACATTTCAAAATTGATGCATTTTCAATTCCCCATGATTATTAAAATATGACTAAAGGCAGCATGACCTGCAACAGCAAAAAGGGGGTAGCCAACGTAATTCAAACCAACTGCATAATTTGTGGTACACAGATATCCAACAAGGCAACATATCATATTTAAAAATTGGATTTTGTCTCCTCTTTTCCCCTCTAAACTAATTAGAACATCTTGACAGGTACAAAGACTGTGAAGTCATCCTACCACCACCTGTGTTTCCAGGGACTGGCATCGAGCAGAAACGGAGGCCAGCTTGTTTTTCAGGTTCTCCGTCTCCTGTGATAAGTTCTGGAACAAAGAGTCTCTTTGCTCAGCCTCCTTCTTTCGTTGCTCCAGCTGGGACTGCAGAGATTTTACCACCTGAAAAACATGACAAAATGAAAAACGGCAACTTAAGTAGCCGCCATAATGACGATGTCAGACCGCAGTCTTTTGAGCCTTTGTTTAAACTGAGACAATTTGTTCTCATGTCTTCCACACAATTATCCTCATCACATAATTGACACTACATGGCTGGAAGTCTGGTTGCATAGCCCCGTTAGCACCTCTGCTGATGAAACGTAATGAGGAGGAGGGCAAGCTTGATTAAGTCTGGGCAAAACAAAATGCTGATATTCGATGTGCCAGCACATCATCTCTGAATTTGTCTACTGCCATTCTGACTAGACTAAATTGGAGAGCCATTTCTGCAACAATAGAAGAGAGATTACACTAGAATAAATAACAGTAGCAAATAAATAGCTTGCATGCGTACACCAGTGTCAGCCAGGTTATGAATGCTAATGTATAGACACACCCAGTACTGACAAACCATTTCTAAATGTCAAGTGAACAACACATGACACCATGTGTTTGAAGGAACCTTCTGCTGGTAGTCTAAGCATCATTTTGCTGAGGTGCTGTCAAAACAGGATAGAAGTCCCCACCCAACAACCGTTTGTGGCAGCTCATTGGGATTCTGGCAAGATTTTACCCCCTCTCTGACAGTTGTTTGCTGCCAGTGCGAGATACGCCACTGACACATTGCCAAGAGTGCAACAAATTTTCACAAGTTAAAGAGCAGTCTTGAAGACACTGCTTTGGGCACCTCCACATGCTGAGCATGTGCCTTTGTTCACAGTGGACTTTGTGATGGATAGTTGACTATATATGTGACATTTAACCACATAGTCCTGCAGAGGCGTGTTAGTATTTTTACCTCTCCCCCTCTTGCTGACAGCTGCTGTCTCATAGTTTCCAGTTCCTGCTCTTTAACCAGTAGCTGCTGATTGTTTCTCTCTCGCAGTGTCTCCAGGGAAAGGATCCGCTAAAAACAAACAAAAAAAGTCCCCCCCCCCCAAAGAAAACCTGCATAACTGGGAAAACACACAAAACAGCCAGAGGGGACTGCAATCCCTTGATGCAAGGTGAACACCTCATTTACCTCCAGCAGCTTGCTTTTGTCCGAGTCAGGTGGCTTGATGTGTCGCTTGGCCAGCTCATCAATCTTTCTCCTCAGGTGAGCATTCTCCTTCCTGACCCTCTCCAGCTCGGCCTCAGCTTTGGAAGCAGAGCTGCTGGATTTGAAACCCAACTTGGAGACTATGGTCTCTTTGGCACCTTTAGATGCCATGGCCTCCTTTGATGCAGCTGAAAATGCAGGTTGGAGTGTTCTAAAAAGACAGAGATTTCATGAGTAAAGAATATTGATATCAAGTTTACCATGGAATATTTATTTTATTAAGGTATTACATAAAATGATAAAAGGGGTAAAGAAAACTGATCATTTGAAAAAGAACCCGTTATACTTGCACTAATGGTACTTAAAATAACAGATCTGCCTGTGGATCGTGAATTCAGTATTTATTAAATCTGTCTGTTGGCTCGGGTCGGGCTGAGACTAATCCGGATGTATCTAACAAACTAAATACAAACAGGTTAAAATCTACTCTGCAAAAACATGCCCAGAAATTAAGTTCTTCCATCTAGATCCTGTGTAAAAATGACCTTCCCCTAAACGATGAAAAGGGGGAAATATTTGAAATAATGATTAAATGAATCACTTAGTTCACAGGGCGAGACATTTCTTGACATTTCTTTTGACATTTCTACCAACATTAACTAATGCCACAACACGGTCTACGTGCCAATTGTCCAAGTTAAAGTACCAAACGACGCTTCTTGATACAGATAATAAAACAAGTATATAAGTATAAAACACTCACAAACGAGGAGAGGATATCCTCTGAGACTGGCAAATTTACGTTGAGACCGTTTAACACGCTTTCGTTTCCTGAAGTTTGAATTACAGCGCGGTGACATCACGCCCATAACGTAGTGTAGGGGTGCGTTTTTGTGTATAGTCGGCGTGTGCCGACATTTAAATTTTGGGTGGTGTTATGGATATATAAGTGTACAAAGTTAAATTTCAGTCATTTCTGCAGGAACGAGTAGCAAACCTTAATGCAAATGGTTTGTTGGCATGATTATTGTTGACGATGGGGCATTGTGCGTATACACCGTATTAGTGGTTGCAGTTCGTAAATTAAACAAACCCACCTCGAGCAGCAGAATGAGCTGCCAAAACAGGATTGTCTTGTTTGTATCTCACTAACAATATTTTACAGCCTCTGTTATCCAATCTGGAGAGACAAAAATACTGAACCATCATTATTATTGTGTTTCAGAGCCCGTCTTCTCCCTTTGCAGATGGGCAACTGATTCAGCAATCCTTTATGACAGAAGCATAACACTACCAGATATCATTTTAAGCTCAATTGCAATTTGTGATTGCAATATTATCAAGTCAAAGAAGCAAAAATTCCGCAAAAATAAACTATTAAAACTTTTAAGAAAAACAGGCCCTGTTGGGAAAATACTTTTTTTCCCCCAAATATGTTTGTTTTATTTTGGAAAATAAAAATTGTATATAGTATAGGCCTACACATATGCATAGTTAAGAGGCAATCAGAATGGGATAATTTGAAATAATCATAACATTTATTAATTTATTAATTAATTTATCCCTAGATCAAACACTGCAGTCAGATAAAAACAAAAGCTAAAGTGAGCACAAAAAGCAAGCTGTTTGGGTCTGAGCAGATTGTAGAGTGCATACTTGTGTACCCATGCAGCAAAATATCAGCACAACCTGCTACAAAATGAAAAGCATATGAGAATTGAATGAAAATTACAAGATGAATTAAAGCCGTCTGGAACTGTGATGTGCTGCAGCAAGTGTGCATGTTTATGTGATGCTGGAATTAGGGTAATTCATGAGTTTGTCTGGGGAAGAATTCTTGAATTACGAAATGTTAATCCAACTGCAGTCATACCATATTAAAGTCAAATATTAAAGTCAGTCAATATGAATAAGACAAAAATGGCTTTGGTTCTCCAGCACATTTTACAAAGTTGAATCTTTCTCTAAAAGCCATAAAGAGTCAGTGTGGCCAAAGCAAAGGTAAAACAGGAACAAATCCTCTAAAATGATTAATTTATTTAGCCATGACAGCTATTGGATCTGAAGGGAACAAAAAAGAAAACGTGAATCATTTCATCAGTCACTCAAAGTCTTCTCTTGTTCTCAGTTTGCCCCCCTTTATAATTTATCTCAAACAGAGAAATTAGAGAACTCGCTCCTGATGAACTTATTTGATTCTCACCTCAAACATTTGTCAGAATTAATTTACACATCTCATGCTGATGTCAAAGAGAGCAAATCAAGAGCACTCAGCATGCTCTTGTCAAAATTCTAATTATTATATATTTTTCTCAACCCCCAATTCCTCCAGGCTTTTTTCTGAGTGTTTATAGACTGATTTAGGTTGTGGTAGGTCTTGTAATTAGAAAAGCCTAGAGTGGTTTGATAGTGATGACATTGCAAAAAAGTTTAAATCCATTTCAGGATCAAAAGAAAAGTGCTCTTCCTATGTTTTTAACCCCCCTTTTGGATGGTTGTTAAAAAATCAGCAGAAATATACCCTGAGCTAAACTCTAAGATGTGGTATGCCAATCTTGTCATACCATTACGGACCCAATACAAAGAGAAACACGCTTACAGTCATTTCCAAGGACAATTTATGGGTAATTATGTTTTCAAAATGTCTGGAAAATGGATAAGACCGAGTGAAGTTTAGGCAAGCATCTCCTTTAACAAGTTGGAGTCTTTTTACAAAATGTCCTGTTGCAAAAAGTAGAAACTTAAATTAAACTTGAGTGAAAATCACACTTCAGTCTTTCAAGCATTAGAAATGAGACTTTTGAAAATCTAATTTTCCACTGGGAATTCACAATTAAGCTGCTCTCATTTCTTTTCTGTTTATATTGTCAGACGGCTAAGCACATCACATATTGTGACTGAAAAGCAACCAATTAAGACTACGTGTCAACTTGCATTCACTGCGAGCATTCCCAGACAATCAAGTTTTCTGGCCTCAGTTTCACCAGATTAGATCCACATTTAATCAAACTGTCTGTGCAGCGAAATAAGCTTTCCTTTATATATGACAAGTTCTCATAGAAAAATTCAGTTTTTAGCATCAGATTATCTTGATAACAGTCTCCGTTTGGCAATAATTAGATTCCCATCCTGTTAAAAAAAAACAGGACAATGGAATAGTTGTAGCCAGATCAATCTGAAACAGCACCTTCACTCAGCTGAGTCCGTCACAATGCTGATTGTGCACGTTTTCAGATGTTGGAGTGACATTTGAAGTGCACACTGGAAGTGAACTACACCGAATGATCAGATAGAATCTGTGATGGAGCATGATAACAAGACACAACAACTGAAGTAAGCAACAAACCATACAACAAGCTGGGCTCAGAGCAGTGATGGATGGTGAATGTTTAATCTCTGCCTCTTCCTTGCCTGCCTGGCTCAGCTGCTCGCACACTAAAAAGTTGAAAAGTTGTCACATTGTCTCTTATTCCAAAAGCCATCCTAATGAAACTTCTCTAGAATGATGTACTGCTTGCCAGTTTGAGCTGCATGGAGAGATATAATCCCCAACAATTTTTGTAGGAATCTCCAACTGAATGATCTGTATGGGAAAGTAGTTAAATCCAAAGGGAGCAAAGAATTTTGGGATCTTATATTCTCAATTTGGATCCAACTAAAAAGGTCACATAGGTCTTTGTTCAGGATGTCAATTTGAGTTGCAATGACGGATATGAACAAATAGAAGAGTTGAAATAAAATGGAATTTAAACGAGCAATTTGACACTGCAATATTTCATGTGACAAGTCTTTTCTTGAAGCCTCACAGAAAATAAGAGAGATTGAAGGAATTAAAACCAACACTATGGAAATGTATGTGAATAGATATTGAGACCATCATACCTTTATCTCTAATAATTTTCTATCCATCCATCCATTTTCTGAACCGCTTATTCTCAAATGGGGTCACGGGGGGACTGGAGTCTATCCCAGCATTCAGTGGGTGAGAGGCAGGGTACACCCTGGACGGTGCACCGGTCATTGCAGGGCCACACAGGTTTTTGGACAGTGGGAGGAAGCCGGAGGACCCAGAGAGAACCCAAGCAGACACCGAGAGAATGTGCAAACCCTAATTAGAAAATCTAATTGGACTGTTTACACTGTAAATCAATAAATAAAAATTCAATTTCAATTAGAAAAATGTTGTCATTTTTGTAAATGTTACTGTACATCTGAGTATAGTTTAACATGGCTGTTTTCATCCAGACATTAGAATGATTTAGCCTTTTATTGCTCAGAAACCCTAGCCATAAATGACTTGTAAAAAAATAGTTAATAAAGCCTTGGAATCTTTGAATTAGTAGAGAGTAGTAGAAACGTCAGTGTTTTGTCAAGGTCCAATGATGAATCATCTCTCACAGTGTCAGGAGCTATATTTTTGTTATGTTGTTTTGTTATATTTTTCATCCTGCAATGGCATAAAGCTACTGTGTATATTTAATAATATGCCATATTTTGTAACTCGATTAAAAGAGCCTCGATGCTGAAATAGCACTCTGTTAAAGCTCATGCTTTTGTCAGAGTAAACAGAAATAATGAGTCTAAGTCAGTCAAAGTTTAAATAAGCAGGCTTGTCATGCATATTAGGTATTAGTTATTACAGTCTGTTTCTTGCATATGCTCACTGACCTTTGGTTGGACCAAGACAACAGAATGCAAAAAAAATAGTCCATTGAAGCCCAATCTCTCCGAATGAAATATTTATTCGAACCTATTGAAATCAAATCCCAGTCTCCCTCCTCCCGTCTCCTTCACTGACCGTGCCTCAGCCAAGACTCATCTGCAGTAAGTGTGAAACTGGACATACTGTCTGTGGGGCAAAAGGTTCCACGCCCAAGTTAACTTCAATTTAGTGGTTCTAGTTACTTGTGACCAGGTGACTGGAAATTATGGCAAACATACAACTGAGGCAGGTCAATCCTGATTTACTCATACTACCAAATGTGGAAATAGTCTAAAATTCTAAATGCAACATTCATATATCCATATACAGAGCATTTAGAAATTGACTAATTTAAATGGCCCCACAATTAACACCAAGACACATTTTTAACCAAACACAGGCACAGAATATAATTCTTCCATCATTCAAAGCTGGTAACATTACTTCACTGAGCTCTGCAGAATCTCTGCAAATTTACGAAATCAAAAAAGTGAAAAATTCAGTAAAGTTTTGTATAAAACTTCTGTTGAAGTCCCCTTTATGTTGGATGGATATCATTGTTTTTATTGGTATAATTTATTTTTCTGTAATCAGAAAAATCCTTTAATGTTTACATCATTTTTAGTATAAATAATTTATCACCATTTAAAGGAGTTTTGAAGCAATGAGCACCGACAAGCATGAGGTCATGCTATGGCTCAGCTACTTCTGGCTTACTTTTATAAAGGTCATCTTTAGATATATCTTGCTCCTGTGCCATCAAAGCTAGGTGTCTATAGATGTACTCCCTTGGAGACAAGCAAAGAGATTGACTCATGGAGTGCTCTCCTCATTATATCAGGCCAATGCTCCAGCTTGGTCTGACATACAGCCGAACAACACTTCCCTCAAGGTTTGTCCAGAAAACTAATTGAAGACTGCAGTTGAGACAACGGCATGACAAGAAACATGCCTCCAAATGAGGGAAATGGATGAAATCTGGCGAAAGACTATAATTTATCTGGACAGTGTGATGTTAAAAATGTTGCTTCATTTCCACCATCTGTCTCTCAGTTGACTGGGAGTCTCGGGGAGCTGTCAGACTCTCGGCCTGCCAATGGCTTTCCTCATCAGGGCGAGAGAAAAGCTTGGCTCGCCGATCAGCCTCCTGGTGAGCCATGTCTGCATCATCAGCGGAGCAGCGAGCAGCTCGGCCCTTTGGAGCAGACCTCCTGGTGCCCTGCATCGCAGGCTGGCCTTGCTCCTATTGCACAGAGCTGGGTCACTGAACTCTGAGGCATCGCCGCATGCACCATCACTGCACTATAGCAGTAAAGTACTTTTCTCTTTCAGCAGAGAGGATTTTGTGCCCCCGTGGGCAGCAATAATGCATGAGCGTAATCACCTTGATTAGATCAGAAGAGATAAAACAAATTAAATTGAGCTGCACCATGTATACAGTCTCACATGTGGACCGTGCGGAGAATATTGAAATGCATGATGGGTTTGTTTGAACATTTTATATCTGAAAAGGTATTTCAAGAACAAGAAAAACAGCACAACAACAAAGGAGCACTGTGTCCATGGCGAGACATGATGGTGGCATAACTCAAGCTTTGAGGCTGATTCCTCTCAGCTGGGACTGGGGCTTTAAGAAGATCAGTGTTTTGTAATGCCCAGCCAGAGCTCAGACCTAAATCCAAATGAAAGTCTGTATCTGAAGGTCAAGTTGAGGATGGTTTCACTTTAAATTTGAATGATCTTGAATATGTTTTAAAAGGAAGCTAGGGAAAATAAAGCAAATTCAGAATATTCCAGAAAAATGTTACTCAGAAGAATTGAAATAAATTGTGTTTCACATTTTAGAAAAATAAATATTATTCATGATATTTTTGTTTTGGGTTCTGGGTTACCCTTCTTCAGCTCAGCAGAGAATGTGCCAATTATGATTTTTTTCTACAAAAGTCTACAATTATAATATTGATCTGTATCCTTTGTCTATCCATTGATTACTTGCTGCATCAGGTCTCCCAATTGTTTATATTGACACAGGTTGTCAAATTAGCATTGTCAGACAAATAACCTTAACTTGAAAAAACAACAACAAAAACATGCAGAAAGATGTGTACAGACTGCAGAGTTTTCAGCACTGATAACACACCTGACACTAATAGCAGTGTCAGAAAAATAGAAAAAATCCCAAACCTATGTAGGTTTTCGTGGAAAATCAGCAAAGTCTCCAAACAAATAAACAAAGACAAGCCAGACAGTCTCACTAAAATGAGGTTTTTAACTTAAACAGAACACTATAGAAAACAAAGCAAGTGACCTAGATATAAAGATTTAACTGACTATTGGCTTTAATATCAACAAAACTGTGAAAGACTATCATAAATTTCAAGTTAATTTTGCCACTAAAATCCACCTACAGATCAGCAGCCTGACTTCTCAAGCTGAAAATGAAAACCATGATTCACTAACATTTTTTCTATGTGCATCACTGAGCATTCTTATCATCCTTCAGTTTGTTTACTAATTATCAAAATTATGTATTTATTTCTCAGATTGGTTTTTACAGAATGACTTTTACAGCCCTGTCTTTGCCCCTAATACACTGGCTGATTATCAAGCTGGGGTTTAAAAGTTTTTGGGTGGCGTGAACAAAACACAGAGGCATAAGGAGGATTACGTGATAGACATGGGGAAAGATGTGCACAGATTCCTTTATCCCTGGGTTTTGTATGGATGAATAAGCCATATTTACATTTTGATTAAGTTTAAACAACTTTTTGGAAGCAATATGCAAGCAAAAACAAGTTTAACATAAAAAATAGTTGTTTATAGAAAATAGATATGTTCAAATAAAGGAAAGAAATAAACGCATATGGAACTCCTATGACTTTGAACCTCTGAGTGACTTGAAGACAGAGGGAAACAAGTTCCACTGATTATGATTTTGCAACATGGGACGTTGGTCAAATTCAGTCATTCATGATCTGAAATAGTTCAAATCTTAGATCCAGAGAATCTATCTATTGTTTCATGGAGCTAACTTGCATTACTGTCCAAACCGTAATTTTTATTTTTAATGCAGTGACCACGGTGCACATTGCTGAGATATCATTAATCCATCAACCTGTGCCTTTCAATGAACCTTTTGGCTAACAACAAGTAATTCAATCAGCTTTCTTAGCATTAACCTCTTTGGTGCTTAGCACTTTGGAAACATGAGGCAGGCACACTGAGTGAGACACTAACTTGCAATTTGGAAAAACAAATTTCACCAAATCACTTTAATCCTCAGACTGTTATGTAATAAATAAATAATAAACCCCTGGTGTCTGTGACCTGATGTGTACTCACTACAATATTAGGGGAAAGCAAGTGCAACAAACACCACTCCGGATTGTTGACATATGAACAGTGAAAGGAATAGGCTTGTTATTCCAGACCAAAAAACATGAATTCTGTGTTCAACACCAGCCTGAAAACTGTAATGGCATATGTAATCGAGTTGAGTCCTGGTCTTGAAGGGAAAAGCAAAACTGCGAAGGAAGATTTAATGGCTGTGCAATGCCAGGTATGGCCCTTCAGTTTACCTCTGTGTTACATGAGGCAGAAACAGGGAACTTATACACTCAATGATTGTTTTCTGTTATCATTCTTTTTCTTGTTTTTATCTCACCTTTGTGCACTTTTCCTTCATCACTGAGCACACCATCTGCCATTGACTGTTTTCTTTCTTTTACCCCCATGATCCTACAGATCATGTAGTGATCTTATTTGGCTACTTTTGAAAATGTCAGCAGTGCAATCTGTTGAAAACGCATCATGAACACAATCTATTTTCACAATATTGAGGTATCTGTTTAGTAAAGTAGACTGAGTGTCCTTGAATCTGAACATTGCTGGACCAACCACTGACCCCACCCCCCACCCCCATCCCCACCAACAGTTTAGATATAAAACGTCCTTGCCTTTAACTAATGAACCTGCAGTGGCTGCAATGTGTTTTTAATTTGTAAGTCACTCCGGGTAACACTGTTTGCTAGACACATGTGATGTAACACCACAGGGATATTCTGTTGCTCTTACATGATTTGGTCCTGATGCTGATTTCAACTGACATCATGCAAGAGTTGTGGTATACTCTGGACTGGTAGCCGAGCAATGTCAAGATTAGCATTCATGCATACTACATTTAAGTCCTTTGCTATATTTCCCCTATTCAACTAATTTGAAAGCATGTAGCCAATCTAAAACAAAGACTTGTACTTTCACAGAAAAGCCCACAAAATTGTGCTGACAACTTCTCACATTTTGTCTTAAGGAAATGTGTCTTACATGATGATGCATATCTCTCTCTATCTTTCTCTCTTACAATATATATGTATATACATATATATATATATATATATATATATATATATATATATATATATATATATATATATATATATATATATATATATATATATATATATATATATATATATATATATATATATATATATATATATATATATATATATATATATATA